TCCAAGCTGGCCCTGTCTCTATGTATCCAGGTACACATAATAAAAAAACACAATGCAGCTCTTTGTAAGAAGCCTATTCATGAAAAATCAAATAACAGCTTCTCCCAGAAAGGTCCTCTCCTAGGAATCTGAGCAAACACTCACCTTGCACTTCACTCACATTCTGTCCAGACCCCAGTTCCTATTTAATCTCCCTCCGTTCCTTAGTATCAGTGTTTCCACACAGTGATGATGGTGATCCCTACATACTTCTTTTATAATGACCACTAGTGGCGCCTACTTTTTGTGGCTGGTGAGGCAGCTTGTCGACATACCTGTTGGTGTCACACTTGCAGGGCTATTTACTGAATGAGAATTCAAAGTGAATTTCAAATTTAAGGTCAAAATAGCCAAAATGGATATAATTCTCTAAGTCAGCGATGCTTTCAGCTCAGCTACTCTGGTCTTGAATTTGAATTCTCACTTTAAATTTTCTCTTTATTAAATAACCCTTTTGGCCTGCACTATTGAGGACAATCACCACTTTCTCCCTCTGTTCCGTAGTGGCTGAATGAATTAATTGCACCCAAAAGGATAGTTTGTCATGTCCCGGCCAGCGCTATGATACATTTAGTGAGTGCCAGACCAGGAGGAGCAGTTAGAGAGGACAGAGGTCTGCACCCTCTACAGTGCAGACTAACTGCTCTCTTATGACTCATTGTGACACATAGTAAATACACTCTAGTAGGGTGGAGGCGGGCAGAACAGCGTATTGCAGGGGCAGCCACTGCGCATGTATAGGATAATGCTGGACAGATAACTAGAAAAAGTCCTTTACTCCCTCAGATTGTAGACATTATGGGCCTATTTAAGGTTTGGACCTGGAACACTAGCTCAGTCAGCTCCTCTGTATATTCTGACCCGGCACAGGTCACATAATTATCCATCTGGATCATTACTGAAGCCCATGGAACAACGCAGTGTGGGAGTGGGCCTTGACAGGGCCAGGGAGTGGGCAGGTGCAATGGAGTTAGGGGCTGGATTAGGTTAATGCAGCCTGGGGGTGGAGTAGAGCTAGTTAAATTAGCGGCCATCTTAGAGAGTGGCCATTTTAATCTGAGCCTCACTTACCTGTAAGTTGTTTGCAGGTTGGCGAGGTTCTTTTTTCTTTTTCTTGCAGATCCATGGCGTCGCTGGAAGAGATCCTCGCTGGAGTTCGGGCGGCGGTGAAGGAAAGAGGACTGGCTTGGCTCCACGAGCAAGTGGGTGCTGCTGTTCCCCTCCCTACAGCAGCAGAGCGGAGACCGGCGCGGAGAGCGAGACCGCCCCAGCGCTTGAGCCCGGGCATGGCGCCTGCATCCAGACGACGGCGGAGTCCTTCTTTGCATGCCGGGGGGAAACAAAGGAGCGGGTCAAAAGGAGGCAACAGGAATGCGGCCAGCGCCACTGGGGGCGAGGATGCCGACAAACTGTTGATTGCCTGCACCACCGCCATGTTGTCTGAATAGAATACGACTTTTTTATTTGCCAACTCCGCACCCAATAAGGCCACTGCCACCACTACAGGTCGCGGCACTGGTCGGGCGAGAACGACTCAGAGCATGGCGGCGGGCGGTAGGATCGAGCAGGAGGCAGCATCTATTGTGGCCGGGTTGGCGGCTGGGATGGCGGAAGGACATGTGGTCGGCACAGGACAGGAGGGGTGTCCCGGTGAGTCTGGGACAGGGGGGGGTGTGGCAGCAAGAATCTCCTTGATGACAAGGGGCGGCCCGGTCAGCCTGACAAGCGCAGATGCGGCCCTGGTGGGGGTCAGGAGCAGGTCTGTAGACAGAGAGGGGACAGGGGAGCGCAGCAGGGATTGCACTAACTCACACAGGGCGGCAGGGGCAGGAGACACTGCTAGCTGCCAGGTTTTTAATAAGAAATTACTGTCAGGTGGGGCGGCCACGGAGAGGCCTGGCACAGAAAGTAGGAGAGTATCAGAGGTGGGCGGGAGGGCACAACCGGCTGCTCTCAAGGTCGGCAAGGCGGCAGGATTGGAGCTAGGAGGGAAAGCAGTAGAGAGCGTCGCAGTGACAGCGTCAGGTACAGCAGCGCTAGGAGAACGGCGGAGAGGCAGTGGAGCAAAGATAGAAGCCCTCCGCATAGCAGGCGCAGCGTGTCAAGGTCCAGTTACTGGGATATGAGGAGGAGGTCCAGTTCCAGGGATAGGAGGAGTTGGGGCAGTGCATCTTGGTCATCTGACAGGAGTTCACATGGTCAGCGGCGTATCATACACGGCAGGGAAGGACGCGTGGCAAGGCGGAACGAAGTTTGGGATAACAGAGTGGAGCGTAGGGAGGAAGGGCGGGTTGGGAGTAATCCGAACAGACTACCCAGGTTATCTTCTCCCTACAGGTCGCGGAGCAATACACCTATGGCCCTGAGGCATGGCCAGGCAGATAGGGGATGCAGCGCCGTTGGCAGGGACATCCGAAGGGGGATGTGAACAGACGGAAATTTGTGGCAATATCCCGGATGCAGCACGGCAAAACCTGCACGTGTCCTTCGCAGGGCCCCTGGGATGTCACTTGAAGATGGACGTTAAGGAAAAAATTTGGAAAGGGGAATTTGTGGAAATATTTTCCCTACTTCCCCTTGTAGAATTCCTTGATTTAAAGGAAGAAGACAAGAAGGATGCCAAAAAAGAGGGGGAGGAGAAAAGGCGGAGGTATCGCAAGATACCGAAGACCTTTGGGAATTGGCTTAGGGCTTTTTGTATTTTGGCAAGCGTAGTTGGGGAAAAGTGTCCGGATCAGTGCTTGCAGCTTTTCTGTTATTTGGATGGAATAGGGGACGCATTTTGGATGTATGGGGGACTGGCGTGGTGGAGGTACGAGCAGTTTTGCCAGCGTCTGGCTGCGAACCCTACCATGCGTTAGGACCAAATGGACCTTCCGTTATGGATGAGACTAATAATGGCGCAGAAAACTGTGCCCTTTCCGGGGACAGCCGGCATGGCCACAGGGGGTGCGGTGTCAGCTGGACAAAAGAAGGGTTTCTGTTGGGCATATAACAAGGGTCAATGCATATGGGGAGCTGCGTATAGATTCAGACATGAATGTTCAGGATGCGGTGGGAACCATGGCGTCAACAGATGCTTCAAGAAAGGTAAGCCCAACACAGATGGGGGTCCTGCCGGGGCACCAGCCCCCGCGGCTGCAGCTGGGGGTGTCGCCAGTGAAGGTAGGTGCGATGTTGCCTCGGCAATACGCTAACCGGGAGGATGCTAGGTTCCTATGGCAGGGATTCGTGGAAGGTTTCTGGATATAATATACTGGCTTGTTACTCTGTCAGTTTGGCCTAACTAGTGCTCGTCAGCTCTTCAGGGAGAGAGGCAGATGTGATTGTATAGTAGCAGGTTAATTTTGCCCTACAATAATGGTTGAGGGGCTGTGGTATAATGGGTGCAGTATGTTATCTGACAGGGAGACAGTGGAGGCTGTGTGATGGTGGAGGCTGTGGTATAATGGGTGCAGTATGTTATCTGACAGGGAGACAGTGGAGGCTGTGTGATGGGTACAGGGATGCAGTGAAGGCTGTGTGAGGGTAGGTACAGGGAGACAGTGGAGGCTGTGTGATGGGTACAGGGATGCAGTGAAGGCTGTGTGAGGGTAGGTACAGGGAAGCAGTGGAGGCTGTGTGATGGTAGATACAAGGAGGTAGTGGAGGCTGTTTGATGATGGAGACTTTGTTATAGTAGGTGCAGGTAGGCAGTTGAGGCTGTGTGAGGGTAGGTACAGGAAGGCAGTGGAGGCTGTGTGATGGTGGAGGCTGTGTTATGGTAGATACAGAGAGGCAGTGGAGGCTGTTTTATGGTGGAGACTTTGTTATAGTAGGTGCAGGTAGGCAGTTGAGGCTGTGTGAGGGTAGGTACAGGGAGGCAGTGGAGGCTGTGTGATGGTGGAGGCTGTGTGATGGTAGATACAGGGAGGCAGTGGAGGCTGTTTGATGGTGGAGACTGTGTTATAATGGGTGCAGATAGGCAGTTGAGGCTGTGTGAGGGTAGGTACAGGGAGGCAGTTGAGGCTGTGTGAGGGTAGGTACAGGGAGGCAGTTGAGGCTGTGTGATGGCAGGTACAGGGAGGCAGTGGAGGCTGTTTGATGGTGGAGACTGTGTTATAATGGGTGCAGGTAGGCAGTTGAGGCTGTGTGAGGGTAGGTAAAGGGAGGCAGTGAAGGCTGTGTGATAATAGGTGCAGTATGTTATCTGACCTTACTGCACATTGGGTGTGGGTGCAGAGGAGAGCCACAGTCAGCACTAGATATATTATTATTGGTATAATAATTATTGTATTTTTAGGTTTCTGTTACAGTTCAGTTTTGTAAACACAATTTCTAGCAGTTTTTTGTACATGGTTTGAGGAAGGAGGACAAACTATGAATTTATTCAATATAAATATGGGACTTTATTAACTACACAGGGAGTTGTGGTGGTTGCATAACTAAAAGTTTTAACAACTAAGCTTTTTTTTTCTTAAATATTTCAACCTTTTTTTTTTTTTGCAGAAATCACTGTTTAGTGGGTAGCCCCCTATTAGGTAACTAGGTATCCAGGTAGGTTATCTAGGTCAGCAGATGTTTTAGGGACATCTGTCAATATATTACACACACCAACTTCCCCTCTTAAATAAAGCCCACTCTCAGCACAGCCAGCCAACCGGCGCAGTGTGCAGCAGCTTAGATTCGCATTAGCTGAGCCTGGGGGGATGTGGGGGGAGGCAGCACCTATAGACTCCCTGCCCAATAAACCCATACTCCATACTCCGCTGTGGTTATGGTGCTTAGAGCAGGTAATTGCCCAGTCTGCAGTGCTGGCTGAGGGTACCTGGATCCGGGGTGGCTGTGGGAGGCTGGAGGTGCCCTGTGGATGGAGTTAGTGGGGAGTTTTGTAGTAGGTGCCCCCCCTTCCCCAGCTCACTGTCCCTTTAAATTGTGGCCCAGCCTCCTGAGAGTCACACACTCTGCCTCTGCCAACCAATAGGGCTGCAGGCTGGGAGCTGTGTTTGCTACAAGTATCACATTGCTGGCAGGCTGGGGGGCAGTGTGAGTGTGAGTGTGAGTGTGGTACACAGATGGCATGAATGGCACTTCTCATGGACTGAGGGGTGAGGGCACTCCTGCTTTCTTTCTATCTGCTGACCTCCTGCAGGACTGGCTCAGGATCTCTGCAAGCCTGGGATTAATAGTGTCTGTGTTACTTCTTGTAGGAGCTTCTGATACATTGTGTGCAATCTGCCATCTCTCTGCCAGCAGTCACTGTGTGTGTGAGTGTGTGTGTGTGTGTGTGAGTGTGTGTTTAACCCCTTCCTCGCCCCTTGGAATCTGTACAATGCTGAAGGTTTTAACAAAGAAACTAAAGAACCAGAGTTTAAGTGAAATTCAGCCCTTTCAACTCAAGGTAACACATTGTTTGCTGTGTCTTTCTGTGTCTTGCTGTGAGATGGTGATGTACTGCGCTATGGTATAGTGGGGGGCTGTCTCTGTATCCTGGGAGGAAGGGATACATTGTGGCTGGAGGGGAGGGTAGGCCTGGCTCTTTAAACTGCCACCCATACCACACACAGCCTCACCCCACTCACTTAACCCTGGATTGGGAAGCAGAAACTGCTGAGCCTGCACAATGAGGGGTTCCTATTATATCTTAGTTTGAAGTAAAGAAAGAGTTAAGCACAATATGAGCCTCTGTGTCTTGAAATAAAATTAGTTTTTATCTTAGTACTATCAGATTGTCTGGAAAGCACTCATTCCTTCTATTCACAGTAATTGTTGTCCGTGTTAGTAACTTGTATCTATACGGGCACTTCATGACCTCATCGCCTTGCGATAAACGTATCGGCTGCCGTAACCAATAACGGTGCCCATTCTCCGTATTATTATACAGTGTGCCAGGGTTTAACCGGACCCGGGCGATCACTGGGTTAATGCTGTGTGTTCAGGGAGACATCTCAGAGCAGGCCTGGGTCCACGTTGCCCTGGAGAGCAGCCAGTGATGGTACTGGCATGTGAGGAGTTAATTCGACCTGGGACTATAATAGAATGTTCACTATTTTTTTTTTTTTTTTTAAATAGGTTTTTTTTTTTGGGGGGGGTGGGAAGAGGGGGGTTATTCATATAAACAAGCTCTGAGAAGAGAAATTATATGGCAAAGCAATTTTTAGGGCTGATATATTTTTTCAATTAGTGGGTAACGTGTCAGAGAACTGTAAACATATATAAATAAATAAATGTTCGAGACTTTTATGATGTATGCATGTGTGCTGTGCATCAAAATGAGATATTAAATATATACTCATTATATGGCGCAGTGTATCCATTATCCGTACATACTGGGGTATTATTATACACTGCAGTGTACCCATTATCAGTACATACTCTGTATTATTATACAGTGTATCCATTATCAGTACATACTTCGGTATTATTATATGGCGCGGGTGTATCCATGGTACATAGTATGTGTGCTATGATATTTACTTGCGGTATATGTATAAATTACATACACAGGATTATTATACAGCGCAGTGTATCCATTATCAGTACATACTCAGTATTATTATACAGCGCAGTGTGTCCATTATCAGTATACTCAGTATTATTATACAGCACTGGTATGTCACTATCCGTACATACTCGGTATTATTATACACTGCAGTGTACCCATTATCAGTACATACTCTGTATTATTATACAGCGCAGTGTATCCATTATCAGTACATACTCGGTATTATTATATAGCGCAGTGTATCCATAGCAGTACATGCGCAGTGTATCCATTATTAGTACATACTCAGTATTATTATACAGCGCAGTGTATCCATTATCAGTACATACACAGGATTATTATACAGCGCAGTGTATCCATTATCAGTACATACTCAGTATTATTATACAGCGCAGTGTGTCCATTATCAGTATATACTCAGTATTATTATACAGCGCAGTGTATCCACTATCAGTACATACTCAGTATTATTATACAGCGCAGTGTATCCATTATCAGTACATACTCAGTATTATTATACAGCGCAGTGTGTCCATTATCAGTATATACTAAGTATTATTATACAGCGCAGTGTATCCACTATCAGTACATACACAGGATTATTATACAGCGCAGTGTATCCACTATCAGTACATACACAGGATTATTATACAGCGCAGTGTATCCACTATCAGTACATACACAGGATTATTATACAGCGCAGTGTATCCATTATCAGTACATACTCAGTATTATTATACAGCGCAGTGTGTCCATTATCAGTACATACTCAGTATTATTATACAGCGCAGTGTATCCACTATCAGTATATACTCAGTATTATTATACAGCGCAGTGTATCCATTATCAGTGCATACACAGGATTATTATACAGCGCAGTGTGTCCATTATCAGTACATACACAGGATTATTATACAGCGCAGTGTGTCCATTATCAGTGCATACTCAGTATTATACAGCGCAGTGTATCCATTATCAGTACATACACAGGATTATTATACAGCGCAGTGTGTCCATTATCAGTACATACTCAGTATTATACAGCGCAGTGTGTCCATTATCAGTACATACTCAGTATTATTATACAGCGCGGTGTGTCCATTATCAGTACATACTCAGAATTATTATACAGCGCAGTGTGTCCATTATCAGTACATACTCACTATTATTATACAGTGCAGTGTGTCCATAATCAGTATATACTCAGTATTATTATACAGTGCAGTGTGTCCATTATCAGTACATACTCAGTATTATTATACAGCGCAGTGTGTCCATTATCAGTACATACTCAGTATTATTATACAGTGCAGTGTGTCCATTATCAGTACATACTCAGTATTATTATACAGCGCAGTGTGTCCATTATCAGTACATACTCAGTATTATTATACAGCGCAGTGTATCCATTATCAGTACATACACAGGATTATTATACAGCGCAGTGTGTCCATTATCAGTACATACACAGGATTATTATACAGCGCAGTGTGTCCATTATCAGTATATACTCAGAATTATTATATAGCGCAGTGTATCCATTATCAGTACATACTTGGTATTATTATACAGCGCAGGACAGAATGGGATTCTATGTGCTTTTAACAATTCCCTTTTAAGTGAATTACCGAAGATAACTGTTCTGGTTACCCCCGCTACAACTCAGTACAACTATACAGCGCAGATTATTAGAGGAACACATTAAGCACTATAACCATTACAGTCTGCGTTAGAGGTTATGATGCCAGGGGTATCCTGCCATCCTCCCAGTATGCAATCAAACTGACTATTTAACTGGGGTCCGCCTTTCGCCTCCCCAGGAGCCTGGAAACTCCAGTAAATAGAATCCTTTAGCTCACATGGTCTAGGTCCTTCTGTAGCTCTCTGCCAATGAGCTGCGCTCCGCATCACCCGGCTAGCTGAGTGCAGGGAGCTCCAGGGCTGCAGAGACTGGCGGACCCAAAGTAAGTTAACCTCCATGACTCCTCTCCTGCAACTGTCAAAAATTACCCACTAAACCCTCCATTAATACTTTTCTAACAACCTACCTCGTAGCCCTACCTCGTACCCCTACTTTTAGCCTTTGTGTACCCCACGTCCTCTAGCATGTAAGCTCAAGGAGCAGGGCCCTCCACCCCTCTGTTCCTGTACGTCCAGTTGTCTGGTTACAATTACATGTCTGTTAGTCCACCCATTGTACAGCGCTACAGAATCTGATGGCGCTATATAAATAATAATAAAGTTGTCACTTTATATGGCTTGATAACTTACACTGGCAAGGAATCAGGGCACACCTGGCATCATAACCACTACTGATGGCTCGAATGCAAAATTACTTATAAATACTAAATAGTACTTTTAGAGTATTGCAGCCGCCATAGGGGAATGCAGTTCTCTATTTATGTTTCCGTTATGCAATAGACATAATATTACATCTAGCAGATAAATTTGCTAAGTGCTGATTGCCTACGGTATACTGCCGGTAAGCTTTGAAAATATTTATTTAACATCTTGGCCAAAACATTTGTTTAGTAGCGTGGCTCCAGCCAACCTGGAAGTCTCTGTATGACTTAATTCAGCCATGTTTAATCCTGTGCCGGGGTGGGTATATTCATAGCTCAATCTGATCTGTGCAGTGTGACCTGGGTGTATTGACTCCCTCATTGGTGGGGGAAAAAACAGTCTAATAGACTGCCCAATATGCTCCCTCAGATGGGAGGTAGGTGGGCATTAAGAAAGAGTTGCACTATCACTTGGTTCATATCACTATAAATGGAAATATTGAAACAAGAACGGCATATACTACTATATTTATTGAAGCCACATCTGGCCCTATTCCACAGGAAAAAATACAAAGTTTATTTGTAATATATAACATGATTGAGCTTACGAAGCCGAACTGACATTTGTATTTCATTTCCCCGTGAGACAGGGCCATATGTGACTGAATAAATAATGTTTTACCTACATATCTTGCTTTGGTGCCCGTTCTTCAATATTTCCATGTATATTGCGGTGAGGAAGTGGCCCTACGGAGTAACGGAAATCCAGGAGATTGCTCAGTGTGGTGCAGTTAGCGTACTAATTGGGTTAGTCTCACAGCTTGCGGATACTCACATCACGCGCATGCATAAAGTAGTATTCTCTATTTCTGAAGGAGAAACATTAGATTCCATGCTTTTCTTTCGGAATGATGTATTTGGTGGGGCACGGTGATTGATAGAAGGTGGTGGCTTTTAAATTCGCATACAATATTTTTCATTGTTTGATTTTGTACAAATTTGGCTCAGTCACCCATTTTAAGGATATCCACCACGAACCCCACAGTTGGAAAAAAAAAACCAGTGTGTTATCTACTAGACTGTAATGTGGCCGAAGTGAACCTCTGCTGAAATAAATTGCTTAAAGGGACACTATAGTCACCAGAACAACTACAACTTATTGAATTTGTTCTGATGAGTAGAATCATTACCTGTAGGCTTTTTGCTGTAAACACAGTCTTTTCAGAGAAAATGCAGTGTTTACATTACAGCCTAGTGATAACTTCACTGGCCACTCCTTAGATGGCTGTTAGAGATCCTTCCTGGGTCATGGCTGCCTAAAATGCATCCAAACATTCAGTGTCTCCTCCCTCTGCACGCAGACACTGAACTTTCCTCATAGAGATACATTGATTCAAATTATCTCTATGAGGAGATGCTGATCGGCCAGTGCTGTTTGAATCATGCTAGCTCTGCCCCTGATCTGCCTCTTTGTCAGTCTCAGCCAATCCTATGGGGAAGCATTGATTGGATCAGGCTACCACTTCTGATGATGTCAGCAGACTGCTTGTTTTTCTGAGTGAAACAGCATGCAGAGTTACAGCTTCAGGCTTGAATACAGTAAGATTTTGCTATATTTATGGAGGCATGAGGGGCACAGGGGGGCTAGATGTTTGTTTTAACACTATAGGGTCAGGAATACATGTTTGTGTTCCTGACCCTATAGTGATCCTTTAATAAAAAGTATTTTAATAAGTAATTCCGATTTTCCCACATTCTCTCATTCACCCAATGGACATACAATTCATGATGGTTGCCGTCAAACTGAACAGATGCCATCTCTACTTTGTAATAATTTAGCTAATATTACTATAATGTGATTTTTAAAGGAAGATAATAAATACCGTTTTAGATGTATTATAAAGAATACTTTCACACAATGAACTAACAATCAGTGGGCAGCTCAGAAAGTTGGCTGAATTTACTTTGAACACTGACTATTTTGAAATATTGCCTATTTTTTATGAACCTTATCCGGTGGTTTTCCAGTTAAGACTTTATATTGTGTATATAAAAAAACAACAACAAACCAAACATGATCTGGCTTCTCTTTTTCCATTGAGCAAGCCAGGAAAACATTTGCAAAGCTCTGCTTACATTATTTACATATAAAACAAACTATGAAAATATGAAATCAGGTTGTCAATGAGTGAGCTTCTTGTGTTTGCACATGTTTGATAGAAAGAATGGCCGGGGTCAGATTTTGGATGATGGTGTTGAATGAACATTTTAAAAAAAAATTTAATTTTATTACTAGCCCAGTCCAACCTTACTAGTCATGTAGGGAATAGACTGTTAAATTGGGGGGTCCCCAGGAATCTGTCAGCTAAGTGGGATCTGCTCATTGGCAGGGATATAGAAGGTACAGAGAGGGAGATTGTACCTACTCCTGACCTGATGCATAAATTGGGAATCATTGGGTTGGCAGCAAATGGCCTTCGATCTCCTTCTGCATCTCGTTAAATCGAAATAGTCAGGTCCCTACTATTCTCTCATAACAAGGAAGGAGCCCATTCTACTGTGTAGAGAGTTCACTATATAAGCTCCCTAGTGGTCTTAATATGGTTAGCTGTCTTCTCTATAATGTATATTTTTTATTTATTTTTTGTGTGTGAGTTGTGTTTTTTTTGTTTTGTGTGTGTGTGTGTGTGTGTGTCTGGGATGACTGAGAGATGGAAGTTTGATATATAATTCCCATTCCCTCTGTTGCAATAAATGGATCCGTGGATTAGGGGATAGGAGTTGGAGTTGGTCCTTTGAATTTTCCACAGTTTACTACTTATTGGCTAAATCTCTCAGAGGGGTTTTAGCACTAAAAAGTGAATTTAATTTGAATTTAATTGAGCATATAAGATTATATATTTTATTTTCAGGTATGTATGTATTTAAAACAAAATAAATAACTAAGACAATTTTTATTGCATTTTCCATTTCTTATGTTTTCCAAAATAAAATAATCCCATTTTGGAAGTCTGAGCTAAATTTACCATTTAGTATATATTTCTGCTTTATATATTCAGAAAAATCTGTTTTAATTTCCAAGAGGTAAGTGAGGCCATTTCCAATAACCGGCCTATGTGCACAGCGGTGACATTCAGAGTCCTCGACCCCGTGTACTCGCAGGAGAGAGAGCAGGTAACCGGTAACAGCATAGTTTATCCAAGGACATATAGATTATTAGTGAAACCAGATATTCATTCATAGCCAGTGCACCTGCCTTTTATCTCTCATTTTGTTAAGGAAATCAAAACTGATGCTCAGAGAGAAGATTTAAGGATCACTATAGTGTCAGAAATACAAACGTGGATTTCTGACACCATAGTGCTGATGTGACTGTTTAGTTACCTGGCCCCCCGGATCATAGGAAAGCATTTGGAGGCTATTGCCGCATTGCGCCAATCCGCATCTCCTCATAGATTTATTGACTCCATGCATTTTCAGGGGGAACATGCCACACCTCCATGCAGAGCGTGGAGACGCTGAGCACCAGTGCTGAAGCACTTGTAGTGACCATCTGAGTAACTGCCACTAAAGGTGTTACAAGGCAGCAATGTAAACATTGTAATTTCTCTGTAAAGGCAGTATTTTTAACATTAAAATATCTGCATGGACTCACTATACACACCAGAACAGCTGCATTAAGCTCCAGTGCTTCTGGTGACTATAGTGTCACTTTTTAAAATAACACTCAAAGCATTATAACGGCTACAGACCATTGTATGGGTTATGGCTTCCCCCCCCGCCCCCCACCCTTCACCCTATTGTAAGTAGCCAATTCCTTGACTTGTGGGATTTGCCAGCTGCCTCTCTCTGCCTACACACCAGCAGGAAGCTCTCGGCTCCGAGGTAAGCCTGGTGTTACAGGTGACCTTAACAAATAGTTTCACTACTTACATTGGTGGAGCTATTGCACTCCTGGCACCATAACCACTGTGGCACACAGTGCTACTTAGTGTTCCTTTTTAAGGAGTAATCACAAAATGGGACTCTACAAACTTTAAAGACTCATACCACCATATCCTTTTGAGGCATTGACAAATGCAAAAAATAAAGATTCTTAGTGAGGTTCCTGTATTTGCTGCACATCCCTAGGAGTTGTAGCTTCTGCAGTGAGTTTTCAAAAGTTCTGGACGTGGCTGAGCGATTTCAGCCAATCATGATGCTAGTGTTCTAGACTTCATGGAACGTGTATATTTCTCCTCTTGGTTAAGAGGCTCCTATTACACTGCATATTTTACAACTAGTAGTAATGTCTTAGTATGTATCCAAATACAGGGCAGTGTGTTATTACAGTGGGCCTGTTACTGAAAATACGACCTGGATGTTAATTCACCTTTGGCTCCGATGCTACATCTATGTACAGACAAAATGTAATGTTGTATCTCTAGAATCAATGCTTTCTATACTGTTGGCCGGGCTGCACTGTGACGCTGGTTGCAGGTAGACTGACAGGGGTATATTGACAGGTCCCGTGACCTGGTAATGAATGGAGCTTTGTGAGTCTGACAGCTGATTTAGAAAGAATTACAAACCGGAGTATCGCAGTGAACCTCTCTGCATTGCTCCCATTCTTTTCAATGGTATTGGGATGCTCAGGGTGATGTCAGACTAATTGTTTTGCTGACCAGAATGCCACTTGCTAGTCCGGGCTCTGGCCTTTAAACGGATCATATGACAAGGGTTACTGTGCAGCCCTTGTTCCCTTTGTGTGACTCAATGCAAATAATTTATTTATCTGACAGTTACCCTCTACACACCCTCTGCGCAACTAGAATTTATTTTTTTGTCTAAATTTTAGACTATAATATTTTTTTTTTTTTTTTTTAAAAGATACATTTACACATACCTGTACTGAATGTTTTAGACTCAAACATTCTGTACAGGTATGTGTAAATATGTTTTTTAAATATGAAAGCAAACTTAAAAAAATTAAATTAGATTCACCAAGAAATAAGCATGAACTAATAAGTTTTAAGGTTCACTTTAAAAAGTTAAATAAAATGTCAACGTAAAAGTGCAGGTCAGTGTAGTGACTGTATATACCATTTATAATACAGCTTGTTGTGGCAGCAGGATTAGTTGTTTCATCTGGCTGAGAATGATGAGTTATAGTAAATGGCACCTTGATGCCCTTCTATTCCTAACCACAATGGCAAGTAAAATGGCCCTATTATGGAAATGTCTGTAATAACGTTACACCGTTAATGCGGCATTGGTACGGTGTCAGGAGATACAGATATCTCCCTATAGGAGGATCGCCTACTATGCCAATAAGTGGTAGTAGGGACATTTTTATTCCACTCTAATTCTTTATTACTAGTTCTACCACTGACATAACTCCCAACATTTCACATAGAGGGACATCTTAATTTTATGGGTGCGAGGGAATGGACCCCAAACAGACTGTCCCTCCTAAATAGGAACCCTTGGAAGGTATGCTGCGAGCAAAATTAAAGTCACACTCCATGCACCAAAACAACTTTACTCTAGATGAAATTGTTATGATGCCATGAGGCCCCTGGAGGCACTCTTACCTCAAGGGGTTAAACCGTTTTCGGCGGTTTAACCCCAAAGATGCCTCCAGTGCAGATCTAATCTCCTCCCCAAGCGGTAAGTGAATTATCACTTACCGGAAGCGCGGAATACAGCCAGCATTAGGCGCCTCTGACTGCTGTCAGCCAATTAGTGACTCCCCATTCACTAAATTGGCTTGCAAAGAAATGTAACTTTTGCAAGCCAGTTTAGTGACCTTTGAGCCAATAAGCAGTGCCCAGCAGCACTCTATGCTTCCTGTAAGTGAAAATTCAGAAGCCGGATTCCACCTGGGGAAGAGTGGAGTCGGCACTGGAGGCATCATTGGGGTTTAACTACTTAAACTGTTTAACCCCTTGAGGTAAGTGCTTCTGGAGGACTCCTGGCACCATAACAACGTAACTTAGTCTAAGTTGTTTTAGTGCCTGGAGTGTCCATTTAATGCACTTGTTTTGTGATTTTTTTTTTATTTTTTTTTCTTGTGTGTTCCAGAACAGATACATTTTAAACCGTAACAATTTTAAATGTATACTTTTTTTTTTTTTGCAATTTGTTAGCATATGTTTTTATTACATTTCCCAAACACAGTCATATTTGACACAAAAGGTGCACTTTAATCAGGAACACTAAAAAAAAAAAAGCATCTGGGCTACAGCATGGATTGAATATAAATGTAGGCGTTTTTGAACGTGTTCTTGATCTACAATGCGATGTGGCATTCCTACGTGGAATATCGTTGCAGAAATCTGGGGAACGAGCAACAATTCTGTCTCAAGGAATTACATCTCAGGCCCTGCTGCTGTTGGACTACCCTTCCTATATATCCCAGCCAGGCATTAGAATTGGAGTTCAATATCACTGAATGTTTATTTCGCTTACATTCTGACTAGCCTGTAGACTTGGTCTCATGGTGAGGTCACACCACTATTAAACCAGAATTCTAAGGAAATTATTTCAAAATCTAAAATTTTGAGGTTGTGATCTCAATGCAACCCTGTAGAGCCAGGAATCGAGCTTTATAAGGAGTTTTTATAGTTTTTAAAGGATTCCATGATAGACTGCAGATTTTTAAGGACAGTTGCGGTTAGAAGGGATGGGCTGTATGCCTGGAAACCTGCGCCATAGCTGTGTTGGCTTGTGTGGGATCAAGATTCAACGGTAGAACAAGTGGTTAACGTTAAGACAATGAACAATGTTATGTTTATAATTTATTTCTGGAAAATATAATCCGAAAGAAAAACATGGAAAGATTAATAGCAGAGGCAACCGTCCAGATTTTGCGACACTCAGGCCTCCATCTTTTTTTAGCGTGACCCAGAACCATAGGTGTTAAATCAATCTCCCTGCGTTTGGCTGTAATTTTCCCATGCTACAGTGACCTCAGGATATCACCCTGTTCATAGTCTGCTGCAGCTTTTCAGGAAATGAGGGATTGTTGGGTTAGGGAGGAGAGTTTAAAAGCAGCCTGAACTGTTATTAAAATAGCTTATGTTTTACACAAAAAGACCTTTGTATGCTGGGATAATCACACATGAGAAATCTAAAGATCAAACTCTGTAAGAAAGTAGCTTCCAAGTGGCTGTAGACTAGAAGCCTGGTTAGAGGCTGACCTGTTCTGTGATCCATAGTTCGTTCCTTCAGTATTGACGAATTTCTGGAGGTTTATTCACTAGACAATGATCTGTACAGAGTTCCAAAATCTTCAACTTGGTTAAGTTGTCATTTTGACTGTATCCTTCTTCCATTTTAGTTTTTTTCTTTAAAGGCTTATCTGTCTATTGTTCCCACGGTTTATTTAAACCTTTGTTAGTCTTTAGTTTATTTTTAAATTAAGGTTTTAATCCACCAAACTCTCGTAACTGTGGCCCTATCTAAATTTCTTCCCTTATTAGCAGGGTCCAGTCGTGGTCCACCTGCCGTGGAGATGTCCATCAGCTATCCTCCATGTCTTCAGTTTAGGACTGCACATAGAATGCTATAATTTCTAGTCTAAAAAAATAATGAAAAATATTAGTAAGGATCATCACATAATCCAGAGAGAAGTCACAATGGCGGGGTCAGGGGCAATTCTTTGTTGGGCAATGCAAAAATGTGTGTTTTTTTTGTTTTTTCAGGAAAAAGAGTAAAACTAGTTTTGTTTTGTTTTTTGAAGCTCAGCTATATTTGAGCAACAGACACTTGTGATGGAGGTTGAGACGACGGCTTTGATGGTGTCCACGGGCGCCTCACTTGTCTTTAGTGCCCCACATTAACAGGTTGTGAGAGGGGACTGAGTTACACTTTTCATGTTTTGATGGTAGTCTATAGGACGTAGAGTTACAAAATATTTAGGTTGTTACAGAGTGGCAATTGTTTTTGTCTGACAGCATTATTTCCGTTTTTAACGAAGACCAGACAACAAAATGGACAATAAAGACTCATGTTGGCTGTGTTTTTTACACTAAAAGTTAATGAAGGTGATCTAAGAGAGAAGCCTTGTGAGTAGCAAAAGTTGCCCGTAACAAAGTACCACAACAGGTAGTTTTACGGCCTCATTTGAATAACCATTTAAACCATTCATCAAAACTTAGCTTAAAGGCACATTAAAGAGTTAGGAATACAAACCTCTTAATATCACTGTCCCTAGTTATAAAGCTGCCCCCCTTTCCTATATATATATATATATATATATATATATATATATATAATCTCTTTTTTACTTAACTATTTCTAGTGTTGAGGCTCCCTTAGCACGACTTTCATTTCCTCCTCTTGCGACGTCATGGAGGATGCCTGGCCTTGTCTTTTAGTTTGACTGTTGGCTAAATTCAATATTCACATTACTCCAACATGCTTAAAGTGGCTGAAGGGGTAAATAGATGTTTGCAAAGGCCCCTGATGGTGAAATTGCTGCTTATGGTGCGGTAGCGGAGGTGAGATACTTACCTGATACTGTCCAGTGTGGGCGCCAAATATAATTTCTGCTTTACCTCGGTGCTGTAGCCTTGTCCATGCACAGAAGTACAACACTGATGTCTGTGAAGGATCCCGCGAGCGTCCATAGATATTGTCTAGCGATCAGCGAGGTGATGCGTTTTTCACAGCTGTCATAGTGGCTGTTTGGGGATTTGACTGACTTGACAGCGGTAGTCGCTCTAAATTGGCACAGTCACGTTTCCACTTTGGACGTGTTTCCAAGGACATGGTACTATAGATCAATAATGGCTAACTGTGGAATGCAGATATATAGGAATTATATTTACTCTCAATACTGACTGAGAGTAATGGGTATTGTGGTTCCCATACATCGACATTAGATTAGTACTTCTTTTATACTCCGCTATACATTAATGGCCTCAAAACACAATCTGGGTTATCCTGGTAAGCTGGATTTGGTTTCCAGAAACCATCTGTGGTTCAGGATATTTTGTAGCCCAAAGCGTCCTTACCAGCTGTTTAAACTGGGTCCAATTGATTATTCCCCATTAAAACAAACTTTAGAGCACTTTTTTTTTTTTTTTTTTTTTTTTGGGGCGCAAACATAACATGCTTTATAACTGTTTGGAATAATACAGACTTTTCTGAAACTACTTGTAAATCTAAACATGTTGCCCAAAACAATATTTGGGCAGAAGTGCACTCAGATGTTGAGATGGTGTCTAAATATGTGCGGTTATTTACTAAAATGAAAACGAGGGATGGCAAACATGAAATCACAATAACCACTTTGGAAACTTGCGGAGTTGGCGAATATTTTCTGTTTAATTTATTTTTTTTCCTAAAATTTACAACGCTTGTCATTTCCGTACTGTTAACTGTGCTAGTGCATCATCCTAGAGTACGTACATCCATTATTTCAGATAACCGACACTTTATTACCATTCACCTGGCCGTCACTGTCAATGGACCAGTTCAAACATCCTTCAGTAAATGCTGGCGTCACAGTTATGATGGAGGCTTGCAGTGCTACCTATATGTAAATAACCCACTGTTCAAGGGTTTCATGCTGTGTCGTGACTCTAGTTAACAATAAGTGTTTTTATTATTATTTATGACGATATTTGTTTTAGATCTCACTTGTGTAGCCATCTAGGTAGGCTTGCCTTAGTCTATTCGCTGCTTTTTCGCAGGCATATTTTTGCCTTCCTAGAAATTACATTAAAGGAACACTACTGGCATATAAATTAAGTTGTTATGGTGCCAGGAGGCCCCTGGGTGCATGCTTACCTTCACGGGTTAAACCGTTCTCGAATGATTGAACACCAAAGTTTCCAGAGCCCCATTTTTAGCTCCCCATCTCCCCTCAGCAGTATCCGGCTTATGGTTTAACCTCTGAAGGCAAGAGTGCATCTGGGCACCTCCAGACATCATAACCACTTAATTTAGATGAAATTGTTATGAGGCCTAAACTGTCCCTTTAAACCAGACAATGCGAAGGATCAGTAATGAACTCCTATTCTTAAATCTTCTATCTACTTCTCTAACTGATAGATTGTAGCTATGTTCTGTGTATTGGGTATCTGTAGTGCTGCATAGATTTTTAGATATTTACCAGATGTATTTCAGCACTGGAGGAGCAGAGAGATAATGCCTTAAAGGAACACTATAGTCACCTAAATTACTTTACCTAAATAAAGCAGTTTTAGTGTATAGATCATTCCCCTGCAATTTCACTGCTCAATTCACTGTCATTTAGGAGTTAAATCACTTTGTTTCTGTCTAACCCCTTAAGGACGGAGCCAAATGTATACAAATGAAACAAAATGTAAACAAAACCTGGCATTTGCGCTACATGTCTGTCCAACCGTAATTCACCTCTTTGATAGTAAATGCACCCACCCTTATTATATATCATTTTATTCAGGGGAAACAGGGCATTCATTTAATATCTAGCTATGAAACATAATTTAATATGAAAAAAATGGGAGAAAATAAGAATTTTTTTTTTTTTTTTTTTTTGTTCTACATGACATTTTAACTGTCAATGTCATAATACTGTTTGCTTTTACTGCAATAAGATACACATATTTGTATTCAGCAAAGTCTCACGTGTAAAAGAGTACCCCCTATGTACAGGTTTTATGGTGTTTTGGGAAGTTACAGGGTCAAATATAGCACATTACATTTGAAATTGAAATTCGCCAGATAGGTTACGTTGCCTTTGAGACTGTATAGTAGCCCAGGAATGAAATTTACACCCATAATGGCATATCATTTGCAATAGTAGACAACCCAAGGTATTGCAAATGGGGTATGTCCAGTCTTTTTTAGTAGCCATTTGGTCACAAACACTGGCCAAAGTTAGCGTTAGTATTTGTGTGTGAAAAATGCAAAAAACGCCAATTTTGGCCAGTGTTTGTGACTAAGTGGCTACTAAAAAAGACTGGACATACCCTGTTTGCAATACCTTGGGTTATATTTGACGCTGTAACTTGTGAAAACACCATAAAACCTGTACATGAGGGGTACTGTTGTACTCGGGAGACTTCGCTGAACACAAATATTTGTGTTTCAAAACAGTAAAAAGTATCGCAGCAATAATATCGTCCGTGTAAGTGCTGTTTGTGCGTGAAAAATGCAAAAAACTTCACTTTTACTGGCGATATCATCGTTGTAATACATTCTACTGTTTTGAAACACTAATATTTGTATTCAGCGAAGTCCCCCGAGTAGAACAGTACCCCCCATGTACAGGTTTTATGGTGTCTTGGAAAGTTATAGGGTTAAATATAGTGCTAGCAAATTAAATTCCCTTTACTTTTGGCATGGGTTGTCAGGCAGGTCCCGCTAATTGTAATTAATTAAGATACCCAATTATGTAAAATGATTACATAAATATATGTAGAATTAATATATGTGTATATAATATAATTTTTTTAAAATATTTTTATATATATATATATAGTGATTTCATTATACGTGTATTTTGATATAAATATATTAATATCACAAAACAGTTAGAACGAAATAACACACATCTAAATATTTTGAAATTATTTAAAAAAAAAAATTTATTTTATTTTTTTAACGTATTTACAAATTTTTTGTGTGTGTGTGTGTGTGTGTGTGTATGTGTGTATGTATGTATGTATGTATGTATGTATGTGTATATATATATATATATATATATATATATAAATTTATGTATATATTATTTTTTTTTAAATTTAATTTTAATTTTTTTTTTCAGCCAGCAGGGGGACCACCTGTCATTACAGGCAGCCCCCCTGCTGGCAATACAGGAGGCAGCTATCCCGGCCATGTGATTGTGAGTTCCTCGCAAGGACCTCACTCTCTCATGGCCGGGGGGCTTCCAGGGGGTCGGACGTGCCGCGGGGGGCTCCCTGGGAGTCCCCCCAACTGCGATCGCCGGCGACCGGGTTAGTACAGAAAGACCGGAGGGCGTACTATTACACCCGGTGGCGTTTAGAGCCGCTTAAAATAGGGCGTAATAGTATGCCCTCTGGTCTTAAGGGGTTAAGCAGCCCTAGTCACACATCTCCTGGCTATGATTGACATAGCCTGCATAAAAAAAAAAACTGGTTTCACTTTCAAACGGATGTAATTTACCTTAAATAATTGGATCTCAATCTCTAAATTGAACTTTAATCACATACAGGGTCTAGCAAGCTTTTAACATAGCAGGGGATAAGAAAATCTTAATTGAACAGAACTTGCAATAAAGAAATCCTAAATAGGGCTCTCTATACAGGAAGTGTTTATGGAAGGCTGTGCAAGTCACATGCAAGGAGGTGTGACTAGGGTTTATAAACAAAGGGATTTAACTCCTAAATGGCAGAGGATTGAGCAGTGAAGCTGAATGTTCTATACACCAAAACTGCTTCATTAAGCTAAAGTTGTTCAGGTGACTATAGTGTCCCTTTAAATATCGGAACCCTCAAACTGGTTCATTTAGACTATGTTGATATTGAATAAGGATACAATAGCTGTCTGGTATCATTCCTGCTATACCAGGCAATGCAGCTCCTTGGAGATCTCCCATTTACTTTCTTCTACTGGAGGAGGGTTATGATCTAAATAGATGGGATTTCTGTAGGTTCTGTGTAGGCGAAGGAAAAACCTGCGGATTGGAATTGAGGGAAAGGAACAAAGATCACACACTGCCGAGAACGTCTGGAAAATATGGCGCACACAGGTTTGTGACAACTGGAAAGGTCGTTGGAGACTCGGAGGATCTGTGCAAGAACCAGAAAAAACTGGTAATTCAGACATTGTAAACAACGAGGAGGAAAAACTTAAAGGGGCCCTATAGTTACCAAAACAACTTTATCTTATTGAAGCGGTGTTGCCGTATACATCATGCCTCTACAGTCTCACTGCTCAATTATCTGCCATTTATGAGTTTAATCCCTTTTTTTTTTTTTTCTGTTTATGCAGCCCTTGCCACACCTCCCCTGACTCTGACAAAGCCTGCATGGAAAAAGAAACTGGTTTTATTTTCAATCAGATGTGTTTAGGGAGGCTGTGTAAGTCACATGCAGGGAGGTGGGACTAGAGCTGGATAAACAAAGTGATTTAACTCCTAAATGGCAGAGAATTGAGCGGTGAGACGGAAGGGGCATGATCTATACACCAAAACTGCTTAATTAAAGGGATACTATAATATTAGGAATACCAACCTGTATTGCTAACACTCTAGCTCCCTCGCGGTCCCTCCTCTGCCAATAAAGGGTTAAAAATTAGGCCCTACCCATAGAAAAGCATTGCATCAGTTAAATCCCCACAGGAAGAGAAAAGGATGTCGAAGTGCCTCTAGTGGCTGTCTCATTAAAACTGCAATTATTTACATTGCAGCACTATGTGTGACATGGACACAGACCGCAGACCACATCAAATAGCTGAAGTGTTCTAGGTGTCTCTAGTGTCCCTTTACATGATTAATATGATTAATTAACATGCAAATAAATAGGAATGTGACTTAAAATGGGAATATAAATGGAACAGACTTTTTCATCACAGCAATTAGATAAAATTATGAGTGGTGACACTTATTGTCTCTATGCCGAGTAAAGATTTTATACAGAGTACTTTCAGAATTTTTATCAAACTGATCTTTAGGATATCTTAGATTAATTATTCACCAATCAGTGTTGTGCATCCTGAATTTATTAGGCATTTTTTTCGGAACCTGACGATGTTTACATAATGGGCTACAAAAACTGTGTCCGCCTCACTCGACAAACCTTTGCTTTACCTTGCTCTCTTCTGTTGAAACTACACAACTAGTTGATTTTGATGGCTTTCCAGCTGGGATTTGTAGTCATAGCCATTGTACCTCTATTGCTGCTCTCCTGTATTGTTGTTGTATAACTTTACAATTCATCACCATTAAGGAAGCAGACATTGTCCGTAAACTTTTTTTTTTTTTTTTTCTCTCGAAGGCCATGCCTGATTCCAACTTCAATGGAGATCTGAACTTTCAAGATTTATTTTTTTTGCTGTGTGTGACCAAATAAATTATTATATATAAAAAATTATTATTATTATTTTTTTTTTTTTTTAAAGGAAAGAAATCTATAATTGCTAGGGAGGACACAGTTCATTAGTCCAAGAACATTACCGATGGCGTATCGCTGTAAGCCAGCTGAAAGGATTAGCACATATTAGTTATGCAGCAGGCTGCTGTCATGGTAGCAAATATTTACTCCAGGTGAATGGGTAGGCCTTGTGTGCAGGTTTATTTAAGGAGAGAAAGAAGGTTTATACGAGTTTACGCTTCTATTTTTTTTTTATTTATTTTTTTTCCATCGCCTGTGTACACATTGAAGGAACAGCAGGGGTAAAAATGTCAATAACGCTTTAATACACAGCTGTGCCAATAACTAAGCTCATAACATGTCCAAAAGTGTGATCTGTCCGTTAATGAATTGCAATTTCTTCCGGGCTTGGCACCGTCTGAAGTTCCATGAGTGCACCGGCTCTTTTTGGGCCATATGGCATTGGAGAATATCCCTTCTCTGCCGGAGATACTCGCAGGAGGGCACGTCTGTTATATACATAGTAAGACACATCTGGATTATACGGCCTCGACCCAGAGTTTGGTTTGTTTTTTATTTTTATTTATAATTTTTTTTTTTTTTATTATTCTCCTACCCTTTCATTCGTGTTGCATTATGTGAAATAATCCATTCGTATTCTGTCTTGTGACGTAAGCTTCTAATTGTAGATTCCTCATTTAGTAATGAACGCATCTGTAAGCTGCTCCCTGGTAAGTTTGAAAACCACATCCTCCACTACAGAAATAAACACAAAACCAACTGGTTTCAGTATCTGTTTATTTAAAGGGCACATGAAAAGTTTCCCTATTTCTATTTGTGTCATTTAACAATTTTTTATTTTTATTTTTTTTTTAAATTAAATTCAGGATCTATTAGTTAAAGATATTACATTTCAACATAATACATAAAACTACATATATCCAGGTTTCATGTTAAAAACTGCAGACGTAGGAGCAAATCTAGAAACATTGATTGTAGATATGGTCTAGTTATAAGGAGAAACTAGGTTGGGTTTAGATTTTTAGGAACATGTTCTAACAGATATTTCAAAGGGCTACCTCCCGTTCTATCTTGTACCAGGGAATGCCCATCACAGGTGCTGATATACCGGTGAGGTGACTGCAAAGTTCTTGTCAACCACAGCCTCCATTACAGCCTTCAATGGAAGAGCTACAGGCAGAAGGGGGCCCCGGCTGTGCCTGATGCTAGCTGTCTAATGGGAATTATGGCATTGCACAAAAGGTCATGTCTGCCACAGGAAAATCATAATGGAGGATTAAAAAAAAAAATGAAAAAGCAAAATTAGTGCATATTCATTATAGCTAAACTGGTATCAGTAATGGTAACAGGATAAATCAGTTGCAATATTTTGACGCCACTATACGACTCAAATTCTTAATTGGTTAGTGATACTATAATGTGTTTTTTAACACTTACATTTGTAGACAAAACATGCCAAAAAAAACCAAACAAATGACAAGTTTGGTTCAAAGAGTTTTCACGTCATAGTTTTTTGTGAATGAATCCGTAGACCAGATAAACTTGATGCCTTTGTAGACCTATTGCATGCTAGTGTGGTTAAATATGGGGCCACAATCAGTGAAACCACCCAATCTCTCTATATGTCAAAGCCAAAGTGGGATTAGAAGAAGGTCAGATGGCATTGTCGAATCCCAGGGGACTATTTTTTTCAGTTTTTGCATACAGGCAGCATATATCCGACGGCTGTCCGCCACCATAGCGCTAGGTTTGCCTCGGCTGTCCGCCACCATGGTGCTTGGTTTGCCTCGGCTGTCCGCCACCATGGCGCTAGGTTTGCCTCGGCTGTCCGCCACCATGGCGCTAGGTTTGCCTCGGCTGTCCGCCACCATGGCGCTAGGTTTGCCTTGGCTGTCCACCACCATGGTGCTAGGTTTGCCTCGGCTGTCCGCCACCATGGTGCAATGTTTGCCTAGCTATAATCCACCTGTCCAGGATCCCATGAGATGGCAAGGCGAGAGATCATTACCCCCCTTTTTTCAACAGAGTAGTTGGACACTAAAGACTTTATCGTTTAAAGTTGAGAGTAGACTTTTGATCATAAAGAAAACAAAAGGGATGTGTCAAATATAGGATGATGGTATGGGCGTTTTTGTGTCAGACTCCTAGTGATGTACAGCAAGCATGTCAAACATGCGGCTCACAACGAGTATTTTTGCCCTTGGGCCGATTTGTGCTGTGGACCACCAGCGGGCCGCGGCCCATCACATGCTCCTGCGATGGGCCGCAAGAGGGCAAAACATTATTCCACGTTGGCCACCGGATATGCGCATACAGCATATGGAGTCATATCCGGCGGCAGCGCTACAGTGCCCCGAATGGCTGGATGCTTGCAGAGCAGGCCAGCCACTGCCCCTTCCCTGCTGCTTGCAGTGCCAGAACAGCGTGTGGCCTGCTTGAGTAGAGAAGAGAGGGGTTGGACTGGAAGACAGCTTAAGGTAGGGGAAGAGGGGGGGTTGGGGGAACATTCCTGTAGTGAAGTGTATTAAATTGGGAGGTGGGGCAGAGTATTACATTGGGGGGAGGTGGCTGGGCGGCAGGAGGCTGTGTATTCGATTGGAAGGGGAGGCATAGTAAGTAACTTTAAGTGAAGCTTTTAAGTGTAAAAATAAACATATAACATAAATATAAAAAAAAATTATATATTGTTTACATGAGAATGATACAAGTCATTTTAATTTGTGTTGGTCTAGGTCAACTTTTTATATATATATATATATATAATTTTTTTATTTTTTTTATTTGGCCCGTGTTAGCCTTAGAGTTTGACATGCTTGGTTTACAGAGTCTGCTGAGACTTGTCCATTGCATGTCTTCAGCTGGACATTGCTTAGAAGGATGCAAATGAAGATACACTGTGTCCATTTTCCATAAATCCTCACAAAACTATTTATTTTCAGTTCTTAATCTGCACGACCTATAGATTGATTTATTTAAATTCTTTATTTTTGTTGTGCAAAGGTTTGACAGGCAAGCGTTTCATGCTACACACAGTAAATACAAACATTTCAAGAAGCAAAAGACTGGCTTACAATAAAACTGCATTTTTAGGTAATAAACAGGCTGATACTGTTCTCTTATTGCCAGACATTATTTGTAAGAGTAGTTAAAACATACTATGCAGGCCGACATTAGTTTGGGCACGAAGCAGAAAATAGTGTCACGTTCAACTGTAGTGCTGGGTGCTGTTCTCGGTGTAATGGTATAGAGAAATATAGATTATGATGATGAGTAGCCTTGCACGCCCTCTACAAGCTAAGATATTTCTGCAGTAGCAGGGGAACGTCTACTAAGTAGGCTGACATGGCCTATACCAGTGATGGTGAACCTTTTTGAGCCCGAGTGCCCAAACTGCAATACATGCCAACTTTTTTTTTCCTTAAAGTGCCAACACGGCAATTAAACCTCAATACTGAGGTTTAAGTTTAGAAATAACAACTCGTACTGTTGTCCGAACTAAATAACAACTTTTGTTTTAAAAGAACACAACAACAGAGCGTTCAATGATACAAATTTTAAATAATGATATAAATAGATAAAATTAAGCTTATATTTATTAGTATCTCCAACAAATGCAATACATACACACACACACACACACACACACACACACAGTCCGCTGAATACACACACTGCTGAGTACACACACATACACACACAGACTGCTGAATACACGCACACACAGACTGCTGAATACACACACATACTGTATTGAGGGGTGTAGTGTATGTGCTGTCTGTGATGGTTGCAGTGTGTGTGAGGGGTACTGTGTGTGTCTGTGATGGTTGCTGTGTGTGTGGGGGGTGGTGTGTGGGGTGCTGTGTGTGTGAGGGGTGCTGGGCGGGGGTAAGGGTGCTGTGCTGTGGGGGTAGAGCTGCTGTGTGTGTGAGTGGGGGGGGGCTGCTGTGTGTGGTGGGGGCAGGGGCGCCTGAGCATTTGGCACCAGGCGGATCCTGTGCTTGGCACCCCTCCCCCCAACCCCCCTCCCAAAAAAACCTGTAAATGTTAAAGGTTTTATTTCTTTTATTTTTACAATTTGTAAACTTTGCAAAACCGCTGTCAGCCCCTCCTACAAAACCCTTGTCCTGCCCTGCCCCTCCTACAAAACCTCTGTCCTGCCCCTTCTACAAATCCTGTACTGCCCCATCTACAAAACCCCCGCAACCCCTTCCACAAATCCCCTGCTTATCCCCCCTTATAAAGACTCCTGTCCCAATACAAAACCCCCACCCCCTTCTACAAAATCCCTGCAGCCCCACACACACATTTACAGGCAGACAGTCACACACTCAGTTACAGACAGACAGTCACACACTCAGTTACAGGCAGACAGTCACACACAGTCACAGGCAGACAGTCACACATACACATTTCCTCCGTGCGGCCAGTTTATCAGCTGTTTGCTTGTGTGAGCTGTACTGGCCGCACGGCACCCTAACTACCATGGGACACTGTGCGGCCACAGCTCACACAGCCCCCTCCAGCCAGGGCCGGTACAAGGATTTTTGCCGCCCTAGGCAAAAGTAAAGTTTGCCGCCCCCCATGTGACATCACAATGCCCCACCCATATGATTTGCCATGTTAACTAACGCCAGTGCTGCAGTGCCGCTGTGTTTACATTAAAAGGCCTGCAGGGACAGGCTATAGACACCAGAACCACTACATTAAGCTGAAGTGGTTCTGGGGACTATAGTGTTTCTTTAATGTGAGGTAAATTAGAGCTTAGTGCCACAAATAATATACTAGATTGCCTACTTACAACCAGATGAGGATGATGATGGGCTCTAGCTGCAGTCTGGCTCCACTGGTCTGGTGCAGAACAGGCTCTCTGGAGGCGGTTTGTAACTGTGGTCACAAAAATCAATGTTCTGGGAGAACGGGAAGCAGCTCCATTTTTTGGGGTCCTTTACACAGCTCAAGGTCTGGGTCCCAGGGTCCACCTTCATGTTCCACCAATGAGTTTGTTCACAGGGGGTGGAGTGTGTAGGGATGTCCTGATATGTGTGTAAGGAATGCATTGTGTGAAATTGTGTTTGTATGTGTAAGGACTGCAAGGTGTGTTTCTGTGTATGTATGGGATGCATTGAATGTGTGTAAGGGTGCATTGAGTGTGTGTAATGAATGCATTGTGTGTTTCTGTGTGTGTAAGGGATGCATTGTGTGTAACGGTTGCATTGCTTGTGTATGTGTGTCTGTGTGTTTTTCTGTGTGCAAGGGGTGCATTGTGTGTATGTGATGAATGTCAATCTCTCCTCCCGCTCCAATTTCCTTCTCCTCCTCCCAATTTCTCTTTCTCCTCCTCTCTCACCCCCGCTCCTCTCTTTTCTCTCACCCCCCCTTATTTCTCTCTTCTCACCCCCCCTTATTCTCTCTTTCTCACCCCCCTTATTTCTCTTTCTCTTTCTCCCCCTATTTCTTTTCACTTCCCCTTATTTCTCTTTCTCACCCCCCTTATTTCTCTCACCCCCCTTATTTCTCTTTCTCACCCCCTTATTTCTCTTTTCTCACCCCCTTATTTCTCTTTCTCACTTATTTCTCTTTCTCACCCCTATTTCTCTTTCTCACCCCCTTATTTCTTCTCTTTTCCTCACCCCTTATTTCTCTTTCTCCTTTATTTCTTTCTCACTTTTATTTCTTTTCTCACCCCTATTTCTCTTTCTCACCCCTTATCTTCTCACCCCTATTTCTTTTCTCACCCCTCTCTCATCTCTCTTTCTCACCCCCTATTTCTTTTCTCACCCCTCTCTTTTCTCTCTACCCCTTATTTCTCTTTCTCACCCCTCTCTCACCCCCCCATTATTCTCTCTCTCACCCCCCCTTACTTTCTCCCCTCCCCCTTATTTCTCCCCCTCCCCCTACCTCCCTGTAGCGTGGCCGAGCCCAGTATAGCCGGCGGGTACAGGGAGCTTTTGTTTCCTGTACCCGGCCGGACTAACAGGAAGTGCACACTCAGTGTTCACTTCCTGTTAGTCCGGCCGGGTACAGGAGACAGCTGCTCTCTGTACCCGTCGGACCATGCTGCAGTGAGGGAGCTGACAGGAGCGCTCCCTCCTGTCAGCCTCTCCTCAGGCTGCGCCCGGGCGGTGCGGTCCGCCCTCATGGACGCACCGCCCAGGCAAAGCTGCAGCCGCCTGATGCTCTATACAGAGCGCTCGGGCGGCTGCAGCTGGGGGGGACCGGGGGGGCTGGCCATGGCACCCCCCACCCTGGTGGCACCCGGGGCGGACCGCCCCCCCCGCCCCCCCCTTAGTACGCCACTGAATAAATATAAAAAAAAAATTGAGAATGATACAAGTCATTTTAGTTTGTGTTGGTCTAGGTCAACGTTTTAAATATTTTTTTTTTATTTGGCCCCTGTTAACCTTAGAGTTTGACATGCTTGGTTTACAGAGTCTACTGAGACTTGTCCATTGCATATCTTGCTGTGTGGGTGGGGGGGAGGTGGGCTGGGTGTTGGGGATGGGTGGGGAGCTGGGGTAGGGGTACTGTGTGTGGGGGGTAGGGTGTGTGGGGGTGTGTGTGTGTGTGTGTGTGTGTGTGTGTGTGTGTGTGGGGGGCTGGGGTAAAGGTGTTTAAAAAAAAAAGTATGCTAAATCAGTATTTTCCCCCTCCCTCCTTCTTACCTTTAATGAAGGAGGGGGGGTCACAGCCATCCCTGGTGGTCTGGTGGTGGCAAGCACTGTTTCTGTGTCGGGAGGCAGGGGGAGGGATCTGTGAAGCAGCTGCCCTGTCCTCCTGCACGATGCTGTGTGGAGCATTGCCATGGTAAAGCTCCACACAGCTTGCTCGCGGGAGGACAGGGGAGCTGCTTCCTTGATCCCTTCCCCTGCCTCCTGACACGGAAGCAGAGTAGGCGCCTGCCGTTTTGGGCAGGCAGGTGCCTACTCTGCATTGATGGCGAACCTATGGCTGTGTGCCCACTGAAAGGGCCCGGCATGCCACCTGTGGCACGCGTGCCACAGGTTCGCCATCACTGGCCTATACTGCCGTAAAGATGGATTATAAAGGTGTATATTAAGGTGACCATGAGCTATTCACAGGGCAGGTTTAACTGATTAGGGGTAAAATTAAGCTAATATGATATTAGATAAGCTCTGGGCTGCATCCGTATTGGAAAACATTTAGAGGGAGAGAGAGTATGCCAGGAGGTTGATTGTATAAGGCAATGTCAGACATGGGGCATAATATGCCATGAGGACAGACTTGGTATGGGATTGCTCAGCCAATGCCCATTAGTGGTGGGCTGCCAACCCTGGGGTCATGAGTACACCTTTCTGCATGCACGGACACCACCAGCCCCAAAGTCCTGTGCACTCCTTCGCTATGTCCACCAGCAAGTAGCAGTCGATTAGCTGGACCATGGCCTCTGGGCCTTCTTGGCGCTTGTGAGTGGTGCTGCCTGTTGTGACCCTTCCGACAGGGCAGTATGCAAGCGTGGATTCGTCCCCTTCTGGAGCACCGCTCGGTGGAGCAGCGGCTGTACGGTAAGGCAGGTTTGCGGCAATGTGGTGCTGCTTTACATCCTGAGGTCCGGAGAGACCGCTGGTAAGTCAGACGGTGGGGTGGGCGCCTCTACATACAGGGCACCGACCTTATGCTGGCTCAATGAGCTGCTGCTTCAGCTTAATTTACTAGTGGGGCGGGTGAGTTACAGGCTGTGGGTCTGTGTTCTAGGCACCAGCAGAGGTCTTGACAGATCCTATTGAACCTGGCCTCAAAGCACTCTGTCCAGGTCTGCAGGCTCACTTGAGGATGTGGCTTGGTGGCCATTTTGGTTTCGGCATGCAGTCATTCCAGCCAGATACTCTCCTGCTGTAGGTTTGAAGGTTTCTCCAACGGGGACCGGTATGACCCTCACCGGTCCAGAGAGGGTTGCGGGGTATCGGAAAAGTTGCTGCTCGGCATGGTCCCCATGTCGGGAGATTGGCCGTCTCTCCCAGCCATTAGCCCGCCTGTCATGCTAGGCCACATGTGTAGAGTGTGGTGAATCTCAACAGGAAGGCACGGGGCCGGTATCCACGAGCCCCCACTCAATGCAGCAACGAGCCACCGTTATGCTGCTCTGTAAAAACCATGGTTATGGCGAATAATAGTCGCGCTTAAGCTTAGTTGTGCCAGAGCTCTCTGCAAGCACGTCAGACCTGCCCCCATTTATGAATTTTAAAGAATTATGTCCTTCTCTATCAATTTTGTTTTCAACTTTAAAAGTGTCCAAAATGTCTTTTTTACATAGAACTGAAATAAGTAATCTGTTTTACACAAACACTTCCAAAAGTAAATCTTTAGCAAGGAGAGTAAACCTGATTTGGATCATAATTTAAGATTTTTATAACTTCCTGTTTGTGTGTGTGTCCTCCTGAGAATTAAGAAATAAAATGCCTTCATAATGTCAAAGTCTCAGATTAGTTTTCTCACATTCCACTTGGCTACAGAAATAAATTGGTCACAAACCGATAACCTGTGTAGTGCTGGATATTTATGTAAAAAGAAAAAGATAACGTATTGCAAGGGATGATGATGGAATGCTTCCCTCTCCCAAAGTGAGATTACAAACTCAAAAGCCAGAAACACATCATCAAGCCAACAGGGCGCCTCAGAGCCTGGCGGGGACCCAGGTAAGCAGGGAAACCGTTTTCTCCCATTACTAGAGAACTTGGCTGTGGTACTCCTCACGTCATGACCACCAGAGCGGGCTCTAATGATTATGATGCTTGAGTAACCCTTTAAACCTGACTTGTATAAGCACTTGGATGCCAGCAGGTTTTGTGAACCGTGTATAGAAACTTCTTAAACTGGGAAAAATATTTACAACTGGCGTACTCACCATTCTAACTTTCTATATAGCATTTAGCCCTTCTCTTAGAACAGGTCTTGGGTCTACACCTTCGTACTGATCCAGAACTCTAAATCTCAGTGGAACTGATGTTTTGGGTTAAAGTGGGAAGCATGTCTATAATCATGCTCTAGTGGAAAATTGGGCTTCTGAGGGCATAGTTTAGGCAATTTTATGAAGGTATTCCTCTTATTACACAGAATGTTTGATTAGAATATCCAGCAATGAGGTTGAATGGAAATCTCATGGGGAAACAAGACCAAGTTCCCAAACGTATCACTTTTGAAGCCCCTTGTGCTTCTCTTTTGCCCCATCTCCTAGTCCATGAAAATGGTAGCCAATTCGGTTTCTCTCCTGGGTGTTTTGGATAATGTTGCCACTTAACAATTTTGTTTTTTCAGGACACTCATTCACTCTGGATTCTATCAAGTATAGTTTGAAAGTGCTGTCTGGTATGTTGAATTGATGCTGCCAATGAAATCTCTAATAAGAGACCAATGCAAGTACCATAACCACTAGAGCTTTATGAGAGAATACAGAATATTATAATGGAGTTGCATCCATATATCTGATACTCCTGGGATCTCCCTCTCATTGTCACGGTGTATTAACCCAACACGCAGAGTTTAGGATAGCAAGGGACAAGACTAGGAAATAACGTATTACTGGGCCTTAGAATGGCCGGACTAAACATTAGACAGAGAAAAAGCGTAATCAGAGACGAGCAGAGGTCAGGGTGACAGCGAAAAACAAGAACTAGCCAGAGTCAGGTACATGGTAATCAGTCAGATGGGCAAACAAGACAGGAAAGGGTTAAAGATAAACTCAGTCAGATACAAAGCCAAGGTCAATACCAGAATAAATACAATAGATCAAGGAACGCACTGAAACAGAAACCATGATAGGGCAAAGTGGATAGGGCTACGGAAGTTTAAATATCCTTAACTAACATTTGATTGGCCCACATCATGCCTACTCCCCCAAAATGTGGGGGTGCCAGAATGACGTGGGCCAATGGGAGCCTAAATCTACTTTTGGTTCCCACTGCCCCTTTAAAAGCGCGCTCGTGACGCGAGTCGCGCTCATAGTGCCAGGCGGGCAGTGTGACCGCTCATTGTAACACTCATAGACCTTGATCGCATTCTTGTAATAGTTATCGATAAGTTGAGTTGATGATCTCTTTACGATATTGATAAGATCAAAGTCACATACTTTTCAATTTGACATTGTAAAAAAAGTTCTATGCTTTGTTTCATAGTAAATAAAAAAACAAGTCGGTTATACTTTCAATTTGGGTTACTCTGCTTTCAAATCTGGTCTTCACATTGAATTCTCACTTAAATAAATAACCATGATAATGTTGTCCTTCAAGAACCCAGAAGAACACTCCAAAGGAATAATATGATGGGTGGTTGTTTGTGGTTTTTTGTTTTTTTTTTAAACAATTTTAGTAGATAAACCTCCAATGAAAACATGCATTTAATTATATATATATATATATAATATATTTTGCATTGGGGTTGTATCTAAAATCAGCTTGCAAAAGCTGCCGATCTCTTGTAAGCACTCATCGCAGAAATGATGGTTTCTCGTTGAGAAGTCTCTGAATTTTGAGCTGCTGGCTCATGAGCGCACACACAATTTCCCTAGGTTTATCAGTGAGATAGCTGGACAAGTCTAGGATTCCTTGGATATAGGGAGAAACAGGCACCTGCTAACTGAATTGGGGGGGCCTTTCGGCAATTATTTGTTAAAGTGCTGATTTCATATAGAATTCAGCACTTTTATAATCTGGAATTATAATTGGCATAACTTTAGTCTTATTGGCTTCTTTTTTTTTTTTTTTTTATGCACAGGGAGGGAGCGGGAAGCGTAATGGTTTGCCATTTTATAGTGTTAATGTATTGATTTCCTTCTGTGCTGGAGAAAGCCGACCAAACCCATGTTTAGAACATGCGCCGAACACTACAAACCTTTTCTCCTCCTCACTTTTCTGTAACCTTGTACATGTATCAGTGACCCTTCAAACAACCAATAAGAAAATCCATTGGTCAACGTTGTAATGACATCAGGTATAGTGGTAAAATGTATAAATGACTGAAAATAGCTCTGTAATAGAGGGACTTTATTTCATGATCTATGGGGTCACCTCCATCCTAGCTGTCTCTTTTGAAAAATAACTGTTGTGCATCCCTTTAGTAAGGCCCTGGAAATCTACTGCCTACAGTAGTATTTTAAGCTGGTGGGTGGACTTGGTGAAGACTTAATACATTTTAACTATGTGTATATTTTCCTCCCCTGCCCTGTTTCATGGTGCTTCCAGCAGCCTGCGCCCCTCTTGTTTTGGGAGAGGGCTTTCAGGCTAGTCTAAAATGATACGCTACTCTTATGTATCCATGAGACCCACTCTTATTTGCCATTGTTCTCCACCCCTCCCCCTATTATAGAGTAAACATTGTATTTTGTTTGTAAACCTTCTGATCAGTTCATTAAATCAGAATGTGAAAAGAACTCCTTTTCCAGTGGGATCCTGTTGCATCTCATCTACAAAGCTAGTCCTTGGAGACCAGCTCTGCTACGGTTGCGCTCAGAAGGGACCAACAACCAACGGGACAGAATCTGAATGTTCTAGTTAGGACCAGCCTTTCTATTGCCATTACAGGGACGGCTTGCAGAGTCTGGTAGAGTTGTGCGTTGTTGTAAGAACCTAATTCATATAGTATAGCTTTTTGTAAAAACCCATTATGCTCTTCCAAAACACATACTGTTGGCTATAACGAGGCCTGGCTCTGCTGTGTAATGGGGGAAGGAGGGGAGAGAAAGGTGCACTGATGACACATGACTCCTTTCTGTGCAGTAAAAGAAATGTAAAGCGTTGTGAACCCATTTTAAATGATTTACATGACTTTTTTTTTCTTTTTCTTTGGCTGGAGTAAGTCTGTGTTTTTGCCTGGCTGTAAGTACAAAGTCCTGGTTGACGTGTTGGTCCCGGAGGAAGGCAGGCTTCTTGTACAATGCCTGATTGTTTGGAGACATTTTAATTGATGAATGGAACATTTGCCCATGATGAGGTGTGGGGGTTATGACACTTCGTACACTTGCTTTTGTTCTGTGGCAGTTTTTACTGGTATCGAGAGCACCGGCAGGCATTTATTTCGAAAACCTTGTTTATCGTGGTTTTAATGGCACATTCAGCTTTCCAGGAACGTTTTATAAGGTGCAATAAGTAATCTATTAACGGTATTTCAGTGATTGGGAATGCTAAGTGCTTACAAGTCCATAACATCAGAAGGGAACGCTCTGCGGCAGGGACCAGGGCCAGACATCTGTTCCATTCCCATAAAATAGAGGTGTTTTTGAAAACTGGGCACGCTGACTTTTTGCATCAAATATTCGACATCGATTTGGAATACGCCTGTTTTAGGCCTACACTGCCAATCATGGGAGATGAGGTGCAATGTGTTAAAGCCCAGAGCTCTCCTCCTTTTCGACCAGTCCCTCGTACGTTTGACCTCCCTAACTGGATACTTTGTGAGAGGTGGGGGCCCCATGACGGGGGAACAGGTTCCAGCACTAAAATGGGCCGTGACTATGGGAATACTTTGAAGCTATAGGCCACTTGTAGAGACATGTGGAATTGGAAAGCTCTGTATTCTAACCATCGTGGTTTACCAAACATTATGTATTGTATTGCACAATTAAAGATTGAATGTTCCCCTCTTGTACCATGAGAATCTTCAACATATTAATCCAAGTTCCTGTGTCCCCATTCACCGGGTATAGCAGCACAATTGCTTTTTATACATGTTCTCAGAGTCTTAAATATTATCTTATTAACTCGCAGTTTTAACAGTATGACAATCTGGAGTCTCATTAAAGGACAAGTCTCATAAAAGTTTAACTCTTCAGTTTATTACTTTTAATGAAACTTCACGAAAATGTCAAGTTTTTATCTGGCTGAGCAATCATGTTGGGTCAGATTCTGCTATCTGAACTGCTGTTATTTACACAGACTGATTTTCTAAACACATTTATTGTAGTTTAAAGACACATTACTGGGAGTATTATTGCTGTGGAGCTCCGTTATACACTCAGACACATTACTAGGAGTATTATTGCCGTGGAGCTCTGTTATACACTCAGACACATTACTAGGAGTATTATTGCTGTGGAGCTCTGTTATACACTCAGACACATTACTGGGAGTATTATTGCTGTAGGGCTCTGTTATACCCTCAGACACATTACTGGGAGTATTATTACTGTGGAGCTCTGTTATACACTCAGACACATTACTGGGAGTATTATTGCTGTGGAGCTCTGTTATACACTCAGACACATTACTGGGAGTATTATTGCTGTGGAGCTCTGTTATACCCTCAGACACATTACTGGGAGTATTATTGCTGTGGAACTCTGTTATACACTCAGACACACCAACAATATGGTGCTTCTAGAAAAGAGGGACATTAGGATAGAAAATAGGCACAGAGGGTTTTGGGCCCAAAATAAGGACTGTCCCTCCTAAATCGGGACACTTGGGAGGTATGCACTGGTATAAAAGGCTCCAGTAAATGTTCCATGTATATCTGTCATCTAAATTGAATCATTATGTAAGTGTTAGTCTGCTAGTGGTGTATTTTCAGTGTGAAAAACAACCCATAGAGGGGAAAAAATAAAAAATACGCTATAGCAAAAATGCAACCCACATGTAGAAATTAAACAGAAATACAGAAAACTGTCCAACCACAAAATCATTTCAGATCTATAAAGGTTTCATTAAAACTACACTGCTTTTTCAGCTGTGCAAATGGTTTCAAGGTCCTATAACAGAGGGACTTTCTGCTGACTCGAAGCAGCTTTGTGGCCCACTAGTGCGATGCAGATTTACTACATAATACAGAGCAGGTCTGCCTTATATAGTGATACAGGTTTATTCACAACACTCACAATGTATCGGCACTTATGGCTTCCAGGGTTCACTGGTGGGAAAACCTGGTTAGCCTGGGTTCTTGTGATCCTTATGAAATCAATGTAAAGTCATTGTTTTAACTGTTCTTAGAGAAATTCTGTAAGGTTAGGAATACATACGAGCACTTTTAACATAAATGTGTACTACTCCCTAAATTTCATTAAAAAAAAATAAATAAAAAAGAAGCTTTTTACTTACATTTTTTCTAGCATCTAGACTTTTTGTTTTCTTCCTCGAGGCTGTCTTCTTTGTCGTCTCATCCAATTCTATGTCTGTTATAGAGAAGCATTGAGGACAGGGAGAGGCACCACACTCCTTCAATTAAATGCTTCTCAGCGTGAAGCATTGAATCCAATGCCTCCCTCTAAGTATTAGAGCAGGGTTCCCAATTAATTTTTCCCGTGGACCCCTTTGACTTAGTGTATCAACATCGTGGAACCCCCTCTCCCCACGTTTTTTGTATGTGTTTGTGTGTGTGTGTGTGTATGTTGGTGTGTATGTAGCATACAAACACAAACACTGGCACATAGTGGCACACAGATACACACAGTGTATCTGTGTGTATGTATGTATTTGACACACAGATACACACACCTTGACACAGATACATACATGCATATACACACTGTGTGTATCTGTGTGTCAGATACACACACACACACACACACACACACACACACCTCTACATCTGTGTTTGTATGTGTCTGTGTATCAAGGTGTGTATCTGTGTTTGTATGGATCTGACACACACACACACACACACACACACACACACAGTGTGTATCTCTGTGTCAGTATATGTATCCGATATACACACACATTGGCACATAGTGACACACAGATATACACACACACACCGTAATATATACACACACTTGCACCCGCAGATACACACATTGACACATACACACACATTGACACATACACACACTGACACACTCAGATACACACGCACATAGGCACATACTGACATACCAGACACTTAGATACACACAGTGACACAAACCTTGACACACAGATAACTACGAGGGAGCTGAGCAGGGAGATCGTTGCTCCCTCACCGCCTGCACGCCAGCCGCTCAGAAGCCCCACAGGACCCTTGGGACTGCACGCCAGTCGCTCAGCAGCCCCACTGGACCCCAGGCACCGCACTGTCTCACTGACAAACACACATATACTCTTTGACAGACATACAAACTCCCTAACAGACACACATACAACTTATTATTTTTTTGTAAATTTTACTACACCCATCCTCCCTACCTTTGGGAGTGCTTTCATGGAGTCTCTATGTCCCTGTGGGCCTGCTGGTCTGAGCGTGCGGTGACTGGGGTCCAGTGGGGCTGCTGAGCGGTTGGCGTGCAGTTCCTAGGGTCCAGTGGGGCTGCTGAGCGGCTGGCGTTCAGGCGGCGAGGGAGCAGTGATCTCCATGCTCAGCTCCCTTGCGCGCCTCGTAGTAATGTCATATTCCGGCATCACTGCTGTGTGCAGATCGCTGCTCCCTCGCCACCCGCGGCCATTTTGTTTTTTTAAATTTTAGCTGAACCCCATTTGTGTTCTCGCGGAACACCAATTGGGAAATTCTGCATTAGAGGACCTTATGCAAAGTATGAGGAAGTTGAATGTCACAGAACAGAGTGTGAAGACAGCCACTAGAGGTGTGTTTTAGCCATGCAATGTAAACCTTGCTGTATCTACAAAACTGCGTTATTTTACATTGCAGAACGAAAGGCAGGGTGCCTGTAGTTCCAAAATGCTTGATGACTCTCATCCTGGGAGTATAGTTCAATATGAACTGTGTATCCCATTATTCCATCCACATTAAGGAAGGACCACCATGCTTATAGCTAAGTATCTTCTCCAGCCTAGCCCTCTCAGGACATGGAATGTCTAACCACAGTAAATGCCACCAATGTGTTTAATGGCTTAAGGTGTTAATTGGAGGGAAGTAAAAAAATAACCTTTGACTTGTCAAGCCGCTGTCCAAGCTCTGCTGAACAATGAACTCACTATATAGGCAAATAATGTCAGATCTCCTTATAGTGGTAACAATATCCCATTACTGGCAACCCAAAACAGCAACATTTCATCCATGTCTCTATCGAGCAGTCTTTATTGCTTCATAACATTGCCGCTTTGGGTTACCAGTAAAGGCATATTGTTCCCACTATAAGGAATGAGTGGACATTGTTTGCTTATATCTGGATACTATTCTGGACTTCTTGCACCCTTGATTCATACAAGGTGGATCATTGTTGTACAGTGAACTCAAGACACGTGACATCAATTGATACGTACGTCAGGGCTCAACAAATCCCAGACGCCCGGTCGCCATGATGACCAGGAAATTTGTACTGGCGCCTGGGATTTGTGAGCCTTTTAAGCCCCTGAGGTGACCGTCTGCCTGAGAGCAGAGGTGGGCAGTCGGCTCACGGAGGGCTTAGGCAGGCAGCTGACAGAGGGATGGGGGCGTCCGGCTCATGTATTGCTGAGGGGGGTGGAGGCGGACGGCTAATGGAGAGCTGAGGGAGGCAGGCAGCTGACTTAGGGCGGCAGCAAGATAGGGAGCTTTAATCTCCCTGCACTGCTCACTTGCGCGCCTTGCAGTGATGCCGGGATCTGGGTTACCTCCAATCACATGGGAAAGGTGTTTTTACTAACCCTTTTTCCCACGCCATGCTGGTGACGCTGGGGCGGCCCGGCCTCCATGGCTGAGATCATCAAACTTGATCTCCGCCAATGCAATGCTTCCCCATAGGAAAATATTGGGAGACAATTGCGCATGTGCGGCAAAATGCCACTGCGCCAGTTTAACTTCTCATAGAGATGCATTGAATCCATGCATCCCTATAGGGATCATTAATGTAGGTGCTGCACAGTGTGAAGCACCACTAGAGGCCGTCTGAGTGACAGTCGCTAGAGGTGTCACCAGGCAGCAATGTAAACGCTGCCTTCTATCTGAAAAGTCATTGTTTACATTGAAAAGCGTTCAGGGACTGGATATAGACTTTCAAGCAAACTTGTCAAGCCCTGACGTACGTGTGAGATGATATACTTGGTCCATTTGGGGCCCAACACACCACGATGGGGGGGTGGGGGAGGAAGGGGTTAAATGAAAAAGTTTTATTGACAACCAATAGTAGGGATTAAAAAGGAGAAAGCATCCCTGGACTCCCTGCTAGGGGATACACCCCGGACCCATCTCATAGCATTCCGGTATATGCAAGTGACACACTTCTACAATCGCATGCGTGATAAAGAGCGCCTACATAGAGTCCCAACGTGGTTCGAGACACTGTGCGAGAGAGGCACTCCTATGGTGAAAGCAATATCCATATTTTATCAACACCTCTTAGTTGGACACCTCACGGAAAATGATACTTTCCGCAGACACTGGGAGACCATGCTCAACACTACCTTCACACCCACGCAATGGGAGACCGCCCTAATCTGGCAACACAAGAGCTGCACTAGCTCACTCTATCAGGAAACAAATTACAAAATAATCGCGCTATGGTACCGAACACCAGCCCTCCTCCATAGGATCTTCCCATCAACCCCCCCGACCTGTTGGAGGTGCCAAGAGGAAGAGGGCACGATGATACACATCTGGTGGGAGTGCAACACTCTTGCTCCCTTCTGGGAAATGATACGACAAAACATAACCGAAGTCCTGGGAGAAATACCCACATGGACAGCAGCCTTGGCACTACTGCATATATCACAACTGCCGATATCAAGGTATAAAAAGTCGATATTACGCCATTTACTCAACGCTGCCAGGGCTCTGATCCCTATATATTGGAAAAAGACAGAGACCCCCAGCGTGGAGGAGTGGATTCGTAGGGTGGAGGGCATTCAGGGGGCGGAGGCGATGCAAGCATCTCTACTGAGCAGGGGAGATAAACATGCAGAACTGTGGCGTCCGTGGTTTACATTTATATCCAGGATTCGATAGGATGAATCGAGAGAGGCCTGCGGGGGGGGACCCGGGCCTTCGGGGCGAAGCCCTTATCTCCTCTCATAGCTAAATACTCTACCCTTAATCTTTTCCTTTCTTTTCTTTTCTTTTCTCTATCACGACTCTAGTGACTACAATCCAACCACTTTCCTTCCCATATACACACGCACACAACCAACTTAACATAGACACGCCATTGTCACATACCCCGAGGAAAAAACAAACAAGACACACTACCATTAGAGCTACAAAACACGGATATACAGTTAGAAGAGGTAGACCCACAAACAAACGCATGGCACAAGGACAGACAAGGTAGCACGGATAGGGTAAACATGACTCCCCACCACCTACCACAAACACTTTACCAAAACATAAGTTTAGCAAGTCCATAGGTATCTGACACGACGCATAGCTACCTAAAATATACTGCATACGACGTCAACCTTCATAGGTTCCCACACCCACTACGAACACCCACAAAAAAGCTAGGGAGAGCTCGTGGCTGACCGATCACGTAATATAAATGCACTCTGAGGGGTAAAGACAGGAACTATGTACTAGTTAAGCAATATAACCTGAATGTTGGTTATCTAGATTGCCATAATGTTAAGTGGCAACGGAGTTGTTCTCAGGAACGAATGTTATGCTTGTGCCTTATTTGAACATATTGCAGCAGATACACACAGGTCGTACGTGACCTCAATCTGCTGAACACTGAATCGAATAAGCTGTATTACCATTACTCTACCTAATAAAAACAGATTTACAAAAAAAAAAAAAGGAGAAAGCATAATGGGAACACTATTTTAAGTGTAATCAAATACTGAGCAAACAAATGCCATGAATCAATGTTAATTATCCCCAATGTGCAAAGGACAAGTTATTGCAATGCAATGGTCGTGCCATTGGGCAACCCAAAAATACACAGGGAAAAGCACACAAAACAATAGTGTGACTCTGGGAGAATGGGGAAAAATTAATACAATTCCACTTGAACGAAAATTACACTTAAAACAAATAATAAACTGTTCCTGAGCTGGGGCCTCCAAAAATAGTCTTGTGGCATTTTAAAGAGCTAACCGTTTTCTTGTGGTGGGAAAACACATACATTTTGCTGTTTAATGTATATATTTACTTCATTTCCATTTTAATTTTTTTTAAATGCAGTATTTGATGCATGGGTAATGGGAAGTAGACGAGGAATTTATTTATTTATTTATTTTTATTTTTTTACCAAGTTGTGTGAAAGCCAATGATAAGAGTTTTTTCTGTTAGAAATGGTAAGACCTCCTTATTGTTGTAGATTTCATACAACCCGAGCGATGAGGACGACAGCGATGATTGTGAAGGAGAAAATCAGGAACTTGCACAAATTGACAAAGGTAAGGTCAGGGCTGGAACATTCAGATACAATACTGGGGTTTTCTGATCTACTCTTCGTTTTTGTGGATATCTATTAAAGGGACGCTATGGTTACCAAAACAACTTTAGCTTAATTAAGCCGTTTTAGTGTATAGATCATGCCTCTGAAGTCTCACTGCTCAATTATCTGCCATTAAGAAGTTACATCACTTTGTTAATGCAGCCCTAGCCACACCTCCCCTTGCTTTGACTGACACAACCTGCATGAAAACAAAATGGCTTAATTTTCAATCCTAACTCACTATGGAAGTTTGTATCTCCTACTCTGTAAATTGAACTTTAATGATACACAGGAGGCTACTGCAAGGTCTAGGAAGCTATTAGCAGTGCAGGATATAAGAGTTGAGCAGTGAGACTGCAGGGGCATGATCTACACACCAAAACTGCTTCATTAAGGAAAAGTTGTTTTGGTGACTAAAGTGTTCCTTTAATATATCGATCTATAAGGAGGCATAAATAATGGTAATATTCAAACCATGTCTTAATTCTTTGGCTTTCTTACATTTTTACCAAAACATAGCTAGCAAAGCATTTTGGAACATGTATCCCGACAATTGGCAAGCCATCACGGGTTGCTCTGCTCTAGGCAATACTAACGCAGAAATTGGATGACTGCTTTTAAAATGGGTCTTTTCTGGAACGTATTTTCTAAACAGAAGTTGTATGAAAAATCTGACCAGACTAATTTTTTATACAATTTGCAACTTTTTATACAATTTGCGACTAATTTTTTATACAACTTTGTAGAATTGTAATTATTTGCCTTTGTTTTTCTATCAGGTACTCTGCATTTTGTAACTTTTTTTTTTTTTTTTTTTAAATACAACAATTTCAAAAATCTGGTTTGTTTTTTTTTGTTTTTTTTTAAATTGTATCCCATAAAGCGGCACTGACATGCCAAACTTGCCTTTCCACAATCGATTCCTTTTCTCTCCCTCTCTTGGGATCTGTTCTTCTTTTTTTTTTTTTTTCATATCTGATCTAGTTTTCTTTAAAACCTAAAACAAAGTACGTATTAGTTAGTCTTATGTATTTTTACGATGATTGACCAGCTCAAGTGGGTCCGAGAAATGGTCCCACAATACTCACCCATTCCTCAGCGATCTCATGATGCCACAATTCACTATCCCTGATCGTCCTTTCATTTAGACAGGGCGATGGCGAAATGACAGCATTTCGTCCTAACAGAATGAGAACAGTGTAGTGGACCCTGGGCAACCGGGCTGGCTGCCACTGCTATTACTGAATGAACTGACCCATCTCTCTCCCAATAACTGGACGACACAAAGTTCCAGGGGGTACCAACACAACTTCACTGACTACATGCGACGTCATACTTTCCCCATGCAAGGGGTGTATCACAGATGAAGACAATGTCCCCTCCCAGGGTCCTCCCCTGCCCGGGGGTTGTATAATGGAACCGGGACCCCAATCCCTTGGTCCCTTGTTCCCGCCACTCAGTGTGCTATCCCACTTCCAGGGATTCCCCCACTTATCCTCAGGGTTTCCCATCTCGGTGGCCAGGGGGTCTTCATCCCATGAGCCTCTGTACCTGGGAGTCCCAGCGCGAGAAAGCTTACCGCCTCTGTGACTCCCAGCCACAGAGCCTGCCAAACCGCCATTGTCCCCAAAAGTGTCCCCACCAATCTCACGAACCCCTTCAAATGGTAACTGCCTCCATTCGTGGGGTCCCTGGGTGAAACCAGGCAAGGAAAGTGTCTCTGTTCTGGACACAAACGCTCCCCCTGGCCGCCACTCATCTATACAAACGGCGGCTGCCCAGGGAAGCTCTCATTAATTACTTCCCTTGCGGTTACACACTTATGTTGTCAACTTTCTAATTGGTTGGTGTGAACACTCCAAGGAGCACTAGGGAGGTCCCCGTTAGGGAACTGAACGGGGTGGAAAACAATTTCACGAATGCTCCCCCTAGAAGTCGTTCGTCTAACAAACGGGCCGCCACCCAGGGGCGGCACGCGCCGAGGCTTCCCTTGCAGGTTGTGGTTTTCACACCTTGTTACGAGGTGTGAACGTTCTAAGACAGCATTCTAAATGAGGGTTCTTGGTGGTCCCCGTGCGGGAGGTGAACGGAACCCGTTCGCATTGACCCCTCGAACGGGGAGCAGGTAAAACATACAAATACAACACAATACAGGGGAAAAAAACAGGGAATATCTCACAAATTCACGAACAGGCAGCGGTCCCCCTACAAACAGTTTGTTCATTCATGTTAGGATGACATTTGGTACTTTTAGGTCGGTACGAAATTTCATTAGAATGAATAAAATTTCAATCCGTGCTGCGGCTGCATCTTGCAGCAGCTTAGTAGACAGCTCCCTAATTCCCATGGTATTGGGGAGCTGTCTACTAAAAGGCTGGAAGACCAAGATGGGTCATTCAGCCAACTTTACTAATACTAAGTAAAAATTACTAAACTATTAGTACATAATCTGCCCCTACTCGCTAAAGACAATAGGTCCCTACTCCCTGGGAGGACAATAGGTCGTCCCCCCCCCCTCTCTTGTCACTGAGGACCCCCACCCGCCGCTCATGGGTGGGGGCATGGAGAGGGGAGACAAAAGGTCCCCCCCTTGTTACTTTTGGCCCACACCCGCTGCGTATGGGTGGGGGCCAGAGGGGGGAAACAATAGGTCCCCTCCACTTTTTACTTAGGGCCCCACCCGCCTCTCATGGGTGGGGGCCGGGGGAGGGGGGACCGTTCCTTTGAATAGCCTCCACTTGCGAGGCACGGGTACTAGGTCGCCGTTAATTGATTTGTATGGTGGGGAGCTTATTTTTTTTTTAGAACTGCTCACTGTTTAGTAGACATGCCCCTACTCGTGGTATAGCGAGTAGGGGCATTTGGGAGATTTTAATCTCCCTCGTGCTATTATGTGGGTCATATTGACCCCCATAGAGTGAGGGAGGATATGGGGGGCTTAGGAAGTGGCTGGGAGTACTGCTCCCTGACGCTTCTATTTTTACATATTACAAGGTACTTCCCTCCTTGTAATAAACTAAACGAACGAACACCGATATTTGGTGTTTGTTCGTTTTAAATTTCTGTTCATTTATTTGTCTTTCTGACGAATGAATAGACTAAATTCCTGTCCGAATTTCGGACAATAGCGGATGCCCAAGATTTTAACTAGGCATGTGCTGGAATTTCACAGTGCTATCTAGTGTGGGCAAACAACGTGTCCCACAGGGACTTCATCTGCCCACACAAAGGTGGCAGCACCCCTGACCTAGGTCCAGGCAAAAAATAAAGATGAAAAAATAGATAATATGGAGGATTTGGGGGTGACTAGGGGGACAGTTAGATGTAGTGGAGTCGGGAGGGGGGTTTAAAAAAACAAAACAACCAAAATACTGGATTCGGCCATGACAGTGCCGCTTTAAAAGACAAAGTTTGCACTGTTGCCCCCACCATATTTAATGCCTGAGGTTTTGTCATAGTTCTACAAATTGAAATTGAATTTTTTGGCTTGTGGTTTATCTAATGAAACATTTTAAAATTAAATGATCTCGGAGCGCTAAATTGTATTATACAAGGTATATAAGAATAAACCAAATGTTACCAATACACAATTAAAAATAAGTAGTATATTAAATTGATATATATTATCCAGCTACGACACTTCAGCGTGTTCCCTTCACCACACAGTAAAGATAATCAAAATAAATGTCAAGAAGTGGAGCGATATTTAGGTGATCAGCCCCTAACCACATGCAGCCAAAATGAGAAAATGAAGGAATGAATATACTTATACTTCTTAATAAGTAGTAGTCACACACTCAAAGTCATGTGTTGCATATGAAAAAAAGAATTAGAAATAAAAATAGTGTAAATCTGCATATATAATGTATAAATTGCACTTTTATATATAGTGCTACTTAACATATATGTTATATAGTATACTTGATGAATTTAATAGTAAAATAAACATTTATTCACAATAAAACATTAAAAATACAGAATACAAAATCAATCAAATTTGAATAAAAAAGGTAAACAGATAACTGCTTACTAGAATTGATGGTGATGACAACTTTAGTTAAATCAGGTGAGGTGTCGGTGTCTTATAGTCCGGATTGCGAGTTCATCCACTGTGGTAGAATCACCATTCGAAACTCCCGGCTTCCACTCGGCTACTCGCACCTTAGGACAATAGAGAAAGTTTGCAATATTTTTACAAGTGGCAATATACCTCTGCTACAATGCTATTGACTTTTTGTGTTTTTCCCTATCTCTACAGAATTAGGTATTTATACTGTGTATTGTTATGTTCCAATTTTACAACTATAAAAAAACAAATATGCTCATTGTGTTCTATTTTAAAGTGTGTGTGTGTGTGTGTGTGTGTGTGTGTGTGTATATATATATATATTGCTGATTTAATATATTTTTAAATGTATAAATTTGTTAAAATAAGTTAGTGTTTTACATAAAGTTTATGATGGTGCTATGGATTATTAAAGTTGTCCTTTGCAACAAAATAGCCTTCATTAACAACGGAAATTGCCCACTTAATTAAACTAATTTAGGGCTGATTGCCCGTGCATGGTTTGGCTATATGTAGAATGTGAACTGCATCAATTAGAGAGACATTCTGCCCTTTAAAAGCTTCGGGCAGCACGGAAGAAAACAGCCTCACGACGAAGCCGTCTGAGAACGGCAAAACGCGTAGACAACGTCAGCACGTACCTAAGGTGGGAGGAGCCGAGTGGAATCCGGGAGTTTGGAATGGTGATTCTACCACAGTGGATGAACTCGCAATCCGGACTATAAGACACCGATACCTCACCTGATTTAACTAAAGAGACTTCTCCCAGTGTGGGAAAGCGTGCTTGTGAGACACGGGTAAATATACCGTTGTCCTCACCGTCAATTCTCGTAAGCAGTTATCTGTTTACCTTTTTTATTCAAATTTGATTGATTTTTGTATTCTGTATTTTTAATGTTTTATTGTGAATAAATGTTTGTTTTACTATTAAATTCATCAAGTATACTATATAACATATATGTTAAGTAGCACTATATATAAAAGTGCAATTTATACATTATAAATGCAGATTTACATTATTTTATTTCTAAATCTTTTTTTCATATGCAACACATGACTTTGAGCGGGTGACTACTAGTTATTAAGAAGTATAAGTATATTCATTCCTTCATTTTCTCATTTTGGCTGCATGTGGGAAGGGGCTGATCACCTAAATATCGCTCCGCTTCTTGACATTTATTTTAATGAAACATTTGCTGTTAAATACAAAATTGTCTCCTCATTAGATTATTAAAATATGCTATTTAAATGCCTGTACTGAATAACTTCCGTACAGTTTGAGAATAATATTCATGTTATCGATAGATCCTTCAGGTTAAAACCCTTTGAACTCATAGGCTACTCTTGTCTCTTCTTTATTTGTATCAGAAAGAAGACGGAATTGTATCTTGACCCCACTGGCAACGAACCAGCAGCAGAACCAGGAAAACCAGTGCTGTAAAGTGCGTGCGCTGTTCCACCCCATTCTTGACCGCCACAGCTCTGAGGAGGAGCTAGAACGAATCAGTAGGGAATTCGCCGCAGAAAAACGCAAATGGTCGCAGGTCAGCAGACTAAGTTGCCATAGTGACAACACATCATCTAGTGACGAGGAGGTGAAGCACCTTTGCGGGGTGTCCATTAGGCCTGTAGAGCAGGCTGACGGCTTGTGTGGCAGTTCCAGTCCAGTTTTGTTCAGTGCCTCTCCACCGAAAAGACTGCAGTCACTGGCTAGAAACCCAAACTCTCGCCCTATAATATTCACCAGCATGGGGTCCAATTTTGACCAAGGAATGCCATGTAAAAGACACAGACAAGGATATGGTGACAAGATCAGCAGACCAAGTCTTGACTTGGAAAAGATGCAACAGGTAGGTTACCATTATGTGCAATGTCTGCATAATATATATTTACATTTGTAACCTGTAAAATCGAGATTGCCTTTTTGGCGAAATCTCGGATTTATCAGCTTTCATTAATGTTTGTTTGTTTTTCTACAATGCGTTACATCATTCCTTACAGGGTCAATGACCCCAAACTCAGCATCCATAACTGCTGGGTTTAGTCCAATTCCTGACTGCTCAGGTTAAACTGACCTGCAGTTCTCCGGTCATTAGAGGTTAAAGAGAAGCTGTGACGAAGTAGTGTAGTTAATCTTTTACTTTTTTTTTTTTTTATATGATGGCTTTATTTTTACTTTATTATTAATTAATATAATTTCACCTCTGACATCACAACCACAGTCTACAATGGCAGAAGTTAACTTTTACACTCCTCACTTAAACTGCGTCCGAGTATAGACAGCTTGTGACTTGCTCTCTTGGTAGTTTGGGACAAGATAATTCCCAGTAAAGTCCATGCGTCATAATTTGAGTTAATATAACATTTGTTGCAATGATGGGAGGATTCATGGGTAAATAAATGATAAAACATAAAGGTTTGAACGTTAATATTTGATGAGATTGATTTAATTATTTAAAATGCAGGTGCCCATTCTTCTTTGAGTTAGAAGTTAATTGCTTTGTAACTTTTGCTTGTTGCTTAACAATACCCTATACCTCAAAACACTAAAACCTCAATATTAAATATAATGGTTCCTCTTTAAACCTCTGTGGGACTGACCAGGACCCTTCTTCTACTCCCTATACTAGTGATGGCCAGCTCTGACATGTTAATAAATATCTGTGAATTACATTTTCCTAATACCTGAAGGCTGACTGAGAATCATAGAAAATAGAGTCCAGAATCACCTGGGGTCAGAGGGGCTCTCTAATTAGGTGGTTTAGGCGGCCGCTTGGGGCCTCGCGGCCGCCTAAACCACCTGTGGGCAGACTGTGTCAGGCCCTCGGTCAGTGACCAAGGACCTGACACCAAGAGGGGGCCTGGCGGCTTGCCCGGTATGCCGATGGATGCGAGGCCCCTCCTGGCTGCCCGGCCACCATCGCAGATACCGGTCTGCAGCTCCGCAGTGAGCCCCCACCATCACCCCAACCTCCCTCCCTCATCATCAGCCCCCACCATCACCCCAAACTCCCTCCTTCAGCATCACCCCCCTTCCTCACCATCAGCCCCCACCATCCCTTCCTCACCATCAGCCCCATCTCCCTCCCTCAGCTTCACCCCCCTCATCACCTCAACCTTCCTCCCTCCTTCAGCATCACCCCTCCGCCATCCACCATCACCTCAACCCCCCTCCCTCACCATCAGCCCCCACCATCACCCCATTCAGCCCTCACCATCACCAATCACCACCCCCCCCCCCCCTCCTGTCCACCATAACCCCAACCTCCCTCCCTCCTTCAGCATCACCCCCTTCCTCACCATCGGCCCCCCACCATCACCCACCATCACCCCTCCCTCAGCATCAGCCCCTTCTCACCATCAGCCCCACCATCACCCCAACCTCCCTCCCTCCTTCAGCATCACCCCCTGCCTCGCATCCCCACCATCACCCCAACCTCCCCCCTCTTTCAGCATCCCCCCTCAGCCCACCATCACCTCAACTTCCTCCTCACCCCGCTCCTCCCTCAGTTTTATCCCCTCCCTCACCATCAGCCCCCACCATCACCTCAACCTGCCTCCCTCCTTCAGCATCACCCTTCCTCACCATCAGCCCCACCACCCACCCTCCGCAGCATCATCCACCCCTCCCGCGGCAGCTCCCCTCAGTTCACCCTCATCCCAGCTCCCCTTCATTCCATCCCCCTCCCTCAGCATCCACCTCACCATAACCCCCCTCCTCACCATCTCCCTCTCACCCCCCTCTCATTTGCCCCCCCACCTCCCTCTCCCCCCCTCACCCTCACCCCCCCACCCCTCCCTCGCATCACCCCTGCTCACAGAGACATACATTCACACACTCTCAGGCACATACACAGGTAAACTGTGCATCAATGTGTATATGTGACAGTGTGCATGTATTGCAACTCTATTTTTTTTCACTTTTTTGTTAGTGGGGCCTCATGTTTGAGTTTCGCCTAAGGCCTCATAAAGTCTAGAGCTGCCTCTGCCTGGGGTGCAAGGTGAGACCTCATTGCCCTTAGCCACAGATGGGAGTTGGAGTCCTGCCAGGGGATTATTTCTGCCTTTGCTATGCCTGGGGTATTTATGGTATGCACCGTGACATTATAAAAGGACTGTAGCTCAAAGCTCTGCTCCTGTAGTGAGACCTTTACCTGGTGGTCCATCAATTCGTGCCTCCCAACTTCTCCATCCAGGATCTCAGTTGGGGCTCATGGTGACAGCCAGCTCTGTGAGTGCACAAAGTACTGTGACTGGTGATATGGCCTGAAACAGAGCCCTCTAGAACTTGCTACACAATCCTGCATGTGGTGTGTGGGATGCAAATTATTGATCATCCCAACATCAATAATTTGGTGTTTGGTAGGCGTGGAGCTTATTCAATACATTGGGAGTGTGGACAACTGACAAAGAAATTCCAAAATGGAAAAATGATGAACAATCAATGGTTATGGTTTTTAGCCTCAGCCTTTCTGGTCAAAAATGTACCATTCCACTGGCAGTTTCTGCAGCGCCCAATTTAATGAATGATCTTCTGTCTTCAACGGTGTTGATTTATGTAACTTAGTTTCCTGGGGCAGTACAGTGGCAAGACATTGTATTGTGGCGCAGATGAGCTCATGGCTTGTGCTAAAGACCTGTTACTCAACAGGCCTGTACAAATAACATATCATCCATTGAGATTTGAAGTAAGGAGATTTCACATATGGGAGAGTATTTTATTTATTTATCTTTATTGTTCTTACTGGGAAAAAAAAGATACAAAATTAACTGCCTAACTATTCTTTGAGTACAATACGTGTATAAGGACTAGGGCTTATAAAATAGATGTTTAGTATACACACACATGTTAGATCTTCATATATAATGAGCAGCTAAACATTCATGTGACTCCTTGCAATATCACCAGCAAAGTTTACAGATAATATAAAAGAATGTAGCGCTTATATAATAAATAAATGATCACCTTTTGGTTTAGTTAGGAAGGAGTTCCCACTTTTATCATCAATTTGGTGAATATCTATAAGACAACCAAATATAGTGTAGATAGTACAGGGTTAAATTATATGGAATTCTAAGGTATACACACACTCACAAACAGAGCGCTGTGGACCCAGCTCTGGTATAAATCGCCTCTCGGTCCGTATAGGCGACCCACCCCTACTCCAGACGAGTATCTTGTCCTGGAGAAACACAAATAGGCAAACGATTGCGCAGTATTGTCTAAAGTTATATGAGAAAGTACAAAAAAAATGTATAGGCGGTGTGCAGTTTGGGGACTGCACTCCCATGTTGAAATGGATGAGATGTGGAACCAGGATAAAGGGTCTCAAATAAAATAACATTTATTAATACAATACAAAATAAAAAATGGCTCAATGTCCAATAAGAAACCGGAACATGTTTCGCCACTGCAATGTGGCTTCTTCAACCGTATTATAAAATAGAATGATTCCTGGTTCACTGTCTCTGTATAAATACCGCCAAAATCAGTAATTAGGACACCCTAACTAAACCAAAGGGTGATCATTTATTATATAAGCGCTACATTCTTAACTATTCTTTGAGATTTTTTTTCAGCTAAAGTACAGGTCACAGTTTGATGATCTGAGGATATTCATAGTGAATAATAATTGCAAGATACTAATTAGTTTTTCAGTTCTCTCAAAAAGGAAAGTGCACACAAAAAGCAATCTAAATAAAATTTCAGGGACACCTTGAGCTGCTAAAAGATAAAACCAAAAACTCTGCTACCCAAGTCTAACTCACCCACCAAAAAATACTTAAAGGGACACTCCAGGCACCCAGACCACTTTTGCCCATTGGAGTGGTCTGGGTGCCAACTTCCACTACCCTTAACCCTGCAACTGTAAATATTGCAGTTTTTAATAAACGGCAATAATTACATTGCAGGGTTAACGTCTATTAGACAGCCACTAGAGGGCACTTCCTGCTCCATGGCACATGGCGCTGTGTGAAGACCTCCAGCATCACTCAATTTCCCATAGGAAAGCATTGAAAGCATTTTCAATGGTTTCCTATGGAGAGCTCTAATGCGCATGCGTGGCATTGCCGCGCATGCGCATTAGGTTTCCTCGGCGGGCAAGATCAGTCTCACCCACCGGCTGACGTAAAGGAAGAGGAGGAGCGGCGGCAACCCGAAACCACCACTGAGGGACATCGGCGGGGGTCTCAAGTAAGTGACTGTAGGGGGTTTTCACCCCTTCAGCAACCGGGTATGGCGGGTGGGAGGGAGAGGGGACCTGCAGTGCCAGGAAAACGGATTGGTTTCCTGGCACTGCAGTGTCCCTTTAAATTGTGTCAACCCTATTAGCTTACCTGTCATCTAATAGGCCATTCAATTTGTTATAACAAAACAATACACTTATTAACTAACGAAAAATGCATAAGTTAAAGTTTCACATATAAGATAAGAAAAAATGCATATATCATAAAAAAAGGATATTTTTAAGTCCATATAGCACAATAGTTTTTTTTGTTTTGTGAACAATAATAATAATATTGGTATCTACTGGTGTAACCTTGTGCTGTAGCCAATTAGGAGGAATAATCCAGTGTAGTGTACCACTTTTATTGTGGATGCTATAACACATATTTAAACTTACGCATTTAAAATGTGATGTTAGTATTGGGAGACATTTAATTATCTCCTTTCATTGCCTTGGTTTGGATTGGAAGTGATGCCTCTCCCACTGTCTGCTTTCAGTCTCTCTTACACTCACTCTTTGAGTTTCAGCCGCTGAAGGCGAGAAAGTCTGGTTCACCGGATGAAACGTGTATAGCACATTCCCAATCTGTGGGTAGAGCCTGTCCTGTTTGTAAGATGTACCTAGCTCAGATGAAACTACAGGGGGGCATATTGACTATCTCACTGACACAGCGCACCAAACTTTACCTATGTGCATGTTTCTCTAGTCCAACCCTCAACGCTACCCAACAATCTGTCAACCGCTTGGTCCTTCACTCTCACACAATGCTGCCTGGACTCCTCCAATGAAGATACAGCTCTATGGGACTGGGGTCTGGCGCACCGCTCTACAGGACAGGGTCTGGCGCACCACTCTATGGGACAGGGTCTAGTATACGGCTCTATGGGACGAGGTCTGGATATGTCTAGTAACTTTCTTTTTATATTTGCACACCGTACATAGAAGGAAGCACACTGGGCGTCCATTGATTCTGTATATTGTTAAAGTGACATTAAGTCCTTGAAGGCCATTGTTTTCTCCATGTATTGTGCTATCTTCTATGATATTGCTGTGACTTTATGGTCAGTGAGCCAGTTCCTAGGATTTAGACTGTCTGGTTACTGGAATGAATATACTTCCTTCCTCATTAAACACGGTTTGAAGATGAAACTTTTCAACGGCCCTTTGATATGTTTTTATATCCTGGACGTTTTATCATGTGCCAGCCCTGAGGATAATGCTTTACAGTTTACACAATACCAAAACTTGTCAGTGGCAGCGAGGGGTGTATGGCCTCGCCTTGCACACATTAATTTATGTTAACGTAGGATGATTACATTTCTCTCTTAGCCAATAATTTAAAGGCCGTACTGCTGAACTGTACTAAAATCGGCACGGCACTGTACAATGTATTTGTTCTAAACTAGTACCAATGCTGGATGGGTGAAATGCTTTTTATGCAATAAAATACTTTCTTCGTGCAGACAATAACCACATTTCGGATGTAAAGAAGGTGGAAGCATTCACCCAATATCAGTGTGCAGCACCTACTACGTCCAGGGCCTCCACACTCTGCATGGAGGCGCTGAAGTTCCCCATAGAGATGCATTGATTCAGTGTATCTCTATTGGGAGATGCCGATTGGTGCAGAGCGGCATTTTGACGCGCATGTGCAGTAGCCTCCCAATGCTTTCCTATGAGACCGTATCGAATTGTCTAAGATAATCAAGATTGATGTTCTCAGCCGTGGCGAGACCAGCACGGTGCTGGGAAAAAAAGGTGAGTAGATTCACTGTTTCCAGGGCGATTGGAGCGTGGCCAGCCACATAAGCCCATGCTAGTAATTTGTAGAAAAGTCAGATTTGACTCGGTTGTAGTGCTGGAAAGGAGGGAAGTATGTAATAATCTGCTAAAACAATTAGAATATAAATAATCTTCATGCTTTTGGACATGTTATCAGTAAAATTGAACTTGCCTGAACATGTTAACACAAACCTAAACCTTTGCTATGGGCTTAGATGTTCTATATTCTGTTGTGTTCTATAAAACCTTTACTGGTTTCAAGCACTCCAGCCACAGAGAGAGAATTAAGATATGTAAATATTCTTCTCCCATTTTAGGTTACAGGCCAGCCTAAATTATTTATTTTAAAGGGGTGGGGGGGGGGGGTTCTTTTTTCAGTGCCGAGACTCACTTGGCGCGGCCGTCTGCTCTACTTCTGGTGATGTTGTCCTGCAGGTGTTATGTTCATCTTCTCATCCAATCAAATGCTTCTCATGGGGAAACGCACTGAATACTTCCCTCTAATTCGTATTAGAGGATGTTTGACATCTTCCTGCACTGCGTGAAGACATTGAATAATGGCACCTGTAATGGCTGTTAGGAAGACGGCCACTAGAGGTGTGGTTGGGGGAAGACGGCCACTAGCGGTGTGGTTGGGGGAAGACGGCCACTAGCGGTGTGGTTGGGGGAAGACGGCCGCTAGCGGTGTGGTTGGGGGAAGACGGCCGCTAGCGGTGTGGTTGGGGGAATACGGCCGCTAGAGGTGTGTTTAGCCCTGCAATGGAAGCATTGCCATATAATAATAACAAAGTGTTTAACCAGGAAAGGTACATTCAGATATGCTCTGGTTTCCGTGCACACTCCTCAAAAAACAGTAATAATTTACTTTCCAGAACTAAAATGACAGGGACATTCCATGGTTTGGGTGCCTATAGTGTCCCATGACGTAAATCATTCTGTCTCTCTGGTCTAGCAGATATTGATGTCCCTTTCTATGGGAATTTTTACTTCCATGTTCTTGTAATGTGTAACATTTTTAATATTGATAGTTTGTGTCTATATTTAAAGGGGCTCTGGAAATAGCTGGACACCCAATGACTTACTCCGTATCCAGTAACCTTAGGAGTTGTCAAATTTGTAAACCAGTTGAAATTCCACACCTGACTAATGGGCTCTGAAAATTAGAACCTGCCATTGTTACAGCCACCTCTGTGATTAAATATTAACACGTGAAATGCTCAGGAGTCTGGCCAATAAATGAGACCTTCCTACCAGTCACTGAGCTGCAGAGAAGTGTGTGTGTGTGTGTGTGTGTGTGTGTGTGTGTACAGAAATATATATGAAATATTTTTATTTATTTTTACTGTCCTCCTCATTTTTCCCCCTCTTGGTTACTTCTGACTTGTTTTGTGAACCAAATGCTGTAAAAATACACAGATTAGTGTACTGCAAAATATAGAAATAATATTGGCCCACTTTTGTACTTTTGGTTCGATTGCATGGGTGAAATACTTCTGAACTGATACACCACAAGGATCAACACCAATGAGTTTTATTTATGTTATCCAGATGAACCTGTTCGACCGAACCAATTTTGTAAAAATTTTTTTTTGCCATTAACAAATAGTTTTGTCTCAACACTGAATCCCCATTATGACAGAAGTGAAGATTGTATTTGTTTTGAAACATCTCTTTAAGTACCCCTGTCAAAATCTTCAGGTATGCCCCTTCTCGGTCTCTCCGCTCTGCCCGTGACCTTCTCCTGTCCGCTGCTCGCACCCGTATGGCCAACTCACGCTTGCAGGACTTCTCGCGGGCGGCTCCTTTCTTATGGAATCGCCTGCCTACCGCCATCAGACTCTCCCCTAGTCTTCAATAGTTTAAGAAGTGCCTTAAAACCATCTCTTTAGGAAAGCTTATGGCCTCCCAGAGTAACCTCTACCTTACATACCTGTCTCTCGCTCTCCTAAAGGGCAGCACTCTACTCTCTCCTCCAGCTCTGCTTCACTCCCACCTTATTTGATTGATATTTCCTGTCATTATGTGTTTTACACCCCACCTCCTATAGACTGGAAGCTCGTTTGAGCAGGATCCTCTTCAACCTATCGTCCCTGTAAGTTTTCTTGTAACTGTCCTATTTATAGTTAAATCACCCCTCTCATAATATTGTAAAGCGCTACAGTATCTGTTGGCGCTATATAAATGGTAGTAATAATTATAATGAAGGTCTTGCAAAACAAATGTAAATGTGTAAAGAAGGCCCATCAACTCCAGAGGGGGGTGCATTTTGGGTAAACTGTAGGGAGAGGACTTCTGGCAGGTGGGTAGGGCCAACACCATTCCCTTGGTCCCAGATAGCGTTGTGTCGGAGGCAATAGCAGAATATATGTACCTTGGTATTTCACAGTACTTGGACACATTGGGTCTGTGACAGAGTGCTCTATACAACGGCCATTCACAATGGATTCTCACTTTCCATTTTGAAACCCCCAGTACAGTTTTCTGTAGACCACGTCACTGGTGGTAAAATCAAACCAGGTAGAAATGCTCAAATGTATTGTCCCAGAATAGCCTTGATTGACAATGGAAACTTTTAGTCGAAATCACAACTTGGCAGCGGGACGTAGTTGGGACATAGTTGCAATTGGGTGTAGATTTTATTTCTAAAATGCCATTAATTACCGTTCTCTGCATTGATCTCCTAAATGACAATGTAAAACCTCCTCTAAGCTTCCCAGAGAGCCGCTTGCCTAGCCAGCATTGTTTGTTCTGTAAGCAAACGCTAACTCTTACATAACATGTATTAGAATGTGACCGCATCTTGGCTTATGATGAAAGATTTACACTTAAGAAGAACCCATAATATGCCAGGCAGAAAAACACATTAGATTTGGGCAACTCTTGCAGCTGTTCTCTGTAGAACGTTCATAGCTAGGATGTGGTCAGACTTTTTAACAAGGTGTATTAACAAAAAACGTTCCCATCTGCTCCGTATTTATATTTATATTCTTGATTTTACATACCATAGCAGCAGAACTTTCTGTGTTGTGTTTTATTCACACCTTATATCACTAGAACAGTTTTTTACTTTTTTTTTTTTTTTTTTTATTTTTTGACAGAAGTCGTGGCATATCCACTGTAAATAGGCTTGTGCAAAAGCCAGAGCAAGGTTCAGATGTCAGTGGTTGGTACAGAAAAATAATATACAAGGCACGTCATACTTTCACGTGTGGCATGGTTGTTGTCTGTCAAGTTTTATGATTTTTAAGGAAACGAGAAAACACAAACAACAATAAGTAACAGTGAGTTTAACATAGTTGCGCTTCTGTAACGTGTAGAGTAGTTCAGCAGACTGAGGTACCGGAAATCTTGGTCTAGTAGAGAGAGTTGGCTAGCGGGGGTACAGAAGGATTTACCAGGTGGGGGGGTGGGCAGGAAGGTTTAGGATGGTGCCTTGGTCGGTGTGTTGTCTATTAGTTCGTTAGTCGGTTCTATAGTTCAAGTTGTTCGTCAATATAGTTTTTCCATGGTTCTCACCACTTGGAGAAGTGTAAGCATTTTAGTAACCGCAACAACTCAGCCGGAACACAAGGAATGCTAAACCCAGGAAGCAGAACACAAGGAATGCTAAACCCAAAGCAAGGTATCGGCACAGTGGAAGAGTGTCATGCTCACTCACATTTCTGTCTGTGTTCCTGCCTCCAATCTCCACTCCAGTAGTCCCAAATTCACGGATTTGAATGTTTTGGGGGCGTGGCTTCCAATTTAAAGAGCCAACCTGTAAAAGGCTGGTTCACACATAGGACTTTATCTTGTTGTGGTTATCTTGTTCCCATAAGTGCTTTATATCTGGTTGTTCGTTTTTGTTAATTTTGACTTCAGCTATACTGACTATTCTCCTATATTGACTCTGCTCACGTACCCCGACTATCCTAGTACCTGGTTTCCTGACTCGACTTGTATACCTAATTTTCGTGATTTCTGGCTCCCTAGATCTTGGCTTGTTCTTGACTATTCTCTATCTGTCTAACGTAAAGTCTGGCCACTCTAAGGTCTGGTATATGTTTTTCTATTACATCTTTCGTGTTGGGTCTCATTGGAGTCCTGACAAAGAGTGGGGTTAGAGGTCAGAACTTTTGGGATACCAGAAGAGAACTGCATAGATTTGTGTCCTTATATTAGCTGATGCTTTGGTCTTATCTTGATACATTCACAAAACATGAACTTAAACGGCTTACACAGACATGACACTCTTGCCATGTGTATGTACCTCTGGCTCCACTTCCCCTAACGGACCATTATCTTATCTGACCTACTTTCCATCGTCACTAGAAGAAAACCCGAAACATGTGCAGAGATGAGAAAGACAAGGTCCTAACCGATATCATGTCTGAATGTGACGTGGCGTTGCGTGCCTCCATGCATCTCCAGGTCCTCCACTGTCCAGCCGCAGCCATTGCAACCCTGACAAACACAGACACTGACACTTACTCACTGAGTGTGGGGATCTTCTATCTGGAGTTCTCAGTCTTCCTGCTCCTCGCTGCTCCCTCACTCGCGCAGTTTAGTCGTGCCGGAATATGACGTCATATTCCGGCATCACTACGGGCGGGCGCGCGCGAGGGAGCAGCGAGGAGAGGGAAGACTGAGCTCCTCCAGCGACCTCTCAGAGTCCTGGCCGGATACATTTTAGCAGAGTAGGCACCTGCAATGTGGGGAGAGTAGGTGCCTACTCTGCTTTAAAGGACCACTATAGGCACCCAGACAACTTCAGCTTAATGAAGTGGTCTGAGTGCCAGGTCCAGCTACGGTTAACCCTTTTTTTTTAATAAACATAGCAGTTTCAGAGAAACTGTTATGTTTATAATAGGGTTAATCCAGCCTCTAAAGCCTCTAGTGTTTGTCTCATTGACAGCCGCAAGAGGCGCTTCCTCGCTTCTCTGTGATTTTCAGTGAGAAGATGCCAGCGTCCATAGGAAAGCATTGTGAATGCTTTCCTATGGACTGGCTGAATGCGCGCGCAGCTCCTGACGCGCATGCGCATTAAGCCGAAGAGAAGGAGAAGAGGGAGGAGAGGAGGAGAGCTCCCCGCCCGGCGCTGGAGAAAGAGGTAAGTTTAACTCCTTCCTCTCCCCAGAGCCCGGCAGGAGGGGGACCCTGAGGGTGGGGGCAACCTCAGGGCACTATAGTGGCAGAAAAACAAGTGTTTTCCTGGCACTATAGTGTTCCTTTAACACTAAGCATGTCTCTAACTTGTGGCTTGCCGGGTGCAAAAATGTTCATTGTGGGCCGCGAGTTTGACACGCTTGACGTAGAGCCTTGTACAAGCTGCTGGTGAGAATGTTTAAACTAAATGACTTCTCAAGGCATCTGGCCATGCTACTGTGTATCTTGCCCTGGCTCTGTGTGGGATGTGATACAAGAGAGGAAATTTTTTAATTTATTTTTTTATTCTGGGAAATGTGAAGGAAAATGGGCTGTTGGATAGATGACTGCTTCAAGTAAATGTTAACAAATATGTAACAAATGGGTTTATTCGCTAAACCGAAAATTGAGGAGCATTTTACAAGCAAGTTGCAAAGTTTATTGCACATTTTAGGCTAAAAGCTGAGAAATATTAAACTCCTTTGTCAATGCTTTTTGTTCCATAGTTTAGTGGATAAACCAGACTTTCAAGCTTGAACGCTGTTTTCTACATTTATTTTTTTTGTTTGTTTTTTTTTTCACTGTTTTAGATCTAAAATGATAAGTGTATGTGACTGTATGCACTAGACTTGTGTATTGTGTAAATGTAAATGTTTTTTTCTGAATTGATTCGGTTCAGATTTCCAAATCTTTTCGTTGCTAAAAAAATCCTAATGAAAATGTTTTGGTTCTATTCTAACACTTAGGTCGGTCTGATTATTGCCAAGGAAGCCCCAAAACAACTCTCAAACTGTAAATTAGTGATTCATTTGTGGTTGGTGTTGGTTTTACAGCTAATACTTGTAGCCATTACCACTTTATTTGGAATCTGGCTACATTTTGTTTTGGAAATCCAAAAGGCACAAAATTGGCCAAAATTTGTCTGAATTTCACTTCGGACCAAACTGTATCTCCAAATCTAGCATGCACTACATAAAGTTGAAATTACGAGTCAAATCTTGGGAAAGCTGGAAAGGGTGCAAATGTGATTCCATTTTTTGCTTTTAGTTTAGTGAATAATCCCCATATGTATAGGGTTACTAGATCCACCATGTTTTCAGGGACACATAGACTTATTGATGGGCAGCACTTGAAAAGGGTTGCCCTGTAGTATGTAGAATTCAGAAGGTGTTGTATAAGACTAAGTAATTTGCCAATGAAGAATCCTGCAGATTAATCTTTATACATGGTGCAGGGCAAATATTTTTGATGTGTTTTCATAAATATGACAAAATGATATGTGTAAACATGGTGGATATGATATCCCTACTTATGGCTAATGTTAACCTGATTTGAGATTAATATAGGACATGGTTTTTAGTTGTACTTTCACCCAGTGATCGGACTCTCTGTATATTTGTCTTTCAGAAAATGCTGCTCAAGAAGAATTGTGGATCGAAGACTAGAGTAATTAAAATACGAGTAAGTAGCTTTCATTGGATCTGGTCGTACTATTTGTATCTGTATTTGACCGCCTCTGAAGTTTTGCAGCTATGCAAAGAAAACCCCAGACTATATCTTGTCTAAATAATGCACAATTCTAAAAAGTTATTTATTTATTTTTTTTATTTTTTTTTTAAATAAGGAAAAAAATAAAATAGACTAACAAAAAATGAATTTAAAAAAAAAGTCAGTCTATCTGGGTTCTAAGCATTATGTTTGGTAAATGCAATCCTTTTATTTGCTACATTCTCATTATTTATTTTTTGTGTTGATTATTTCTCACCCATTTCCCTTTAAATTGCCATAAAAATGTCACTTTCACACCCTCCTGACCTATATAAAGCATAATAATGATATCGGTAATATGGTAAGTGTGGTGATATGTCAGCCATCCCTGAGAAGGGTGTTTCAGGCGTCAAAATGAACTGTATGACGTAATAGGTATACGGTCCGTGTGCATGTTAAAGGCGATAATCTAAGTTTGAGGACCATCTAGAGAGAGCAAATAAAATGAAAATAGTTTTTAAATTAGATTATAAGGTAAAGAAAGTATATTACAACACAGCAGGTAAAGAAATAGCTCCACGTAGACTTTCAATAATATGTGATGGAATAAGCCAAGTTTTGGGGAGTTTTAGTGAGAACCAAGACTGTAGAAGTGAAATAATGATTTGTACTGGCATTGTATGAATATAAAGTAATATTTGGATGAATGTTCACTTTAAATGTTGCTTTGTTTTGCTGGGTATTGTGACTTGTAGATGTATGTGGACAGGTAGCCAGCATTCTGATAAAAGTGCTGTTCATTCACACACGGACAAACAGCATGTTTCCAAGTCCGTTTAATTCTCAGGATCCATCAGGCCAAGCTAGAATGAGTAATCTCAAACACGGAGACTTGTGCCATGACCTTGTTTCAACCATGTGTCGTGTTGGCTACAAGAACTGAGTGAGAATTCTCCAGACATTATTTACTTTGTAAAATTCTCTGTTTTTACGCTAGAGGGTCAGGGGACATAACATTTTATCTTTAATATTACAACAAGGATCCTTATTTTGTTACAAAACACCTGTCGTTTAGAGGTGATTGTACCCCCATACTGCAAATCAGGGTTATCTTGCATTGGACAGACCGGGCAGATTGCTAAATTAGCACAGTTTTCTCTGTCTGCATTATCTGAGCAAAACTGCCCACCCCATGATAAGATGGGAATGGGTGGGTCACTGCGGTTTTCAAGGTTAGTCGGTTTTGTTAAGATAATGTATAAGTGAAGCATCCATATTGTCTGAGGAGCAGAGGAGGTGCTAGGCTTTGGGTGTCGAGAGAACCACAGTTTTTGCCATACTATTTAAAAATTATTTGGCAAAAAATAAGGCAATGTGTTCAGATATTCAAAAAGGGTCCTGTTAATTCTAGACCTTTGAGCTTAACTTCTGTAGCTGGGAAAGTATTTAAAAGGTTAGTAAGAAGTATTCAGGAATTCATTATGAAAAACATTATTAGCAATAATCAGCATGGTTTTATGAAACACAGATCATGTCAAGCTAACCTTATTGCATTCTCTGAAAAAGTAAGTAGAAGTATAGATCAGGGTGTTGCAGTGGATGTGATCTATTTGGATTTTGCCAAGGCATTTGATAAGGTTCCTCATAATAGGTTAGCGTTAAAACTCAAAGAAATCGGTATAGATGAAAATTCTTGTTCTTGGGTAGAACTTTGGCTTAAAAATAGAGTACAGGGAGGGAGTTGTCATTAATGATACATTTTCAAGCTGGACAAAGAGATAAGTGGTTTCTCTTCTTTGACCCCTTCTATTTAACATTTTTATAAATGATCTTGAAGACCGCATTGAAAGTCATGTTTCAGTGTTTGCAGATGACACAAAACTGTAAAGAAATACAATGTGAGCAAGGTATTACTTTGCAGCAACTGGTTTAAAATAGATTGAGTGACTGAGCACTCAAATGGCAGATTAAATTTAATGTACTGTAGATAAATACGAAGTTATGCACTTCAGGGTAAAAAAGGCACAAGCAACTTGCATCCTAAACGGAGAATTGGAGATAACACGTGAGAAGGTTTTGTGAACGGTTATAGACCACAAACTAGGCAACAATGTGCAATGTCAATCTGCAGTGGCTAAGGCCAGTATAATATCGTCATGTATAAAAACGGGCATTAATTCTCGGGATGAGAATATCATTTTGCCCCTCTAAACCACTGGTAAGACCACACCAGGAATATGTCGTGCAATTTTGGACACCTGTTCTAAAGAGATATTATGGCACTAGAAAAAGTGCAGAAGCGGGAATACAAAATTAGTAAAAAGAAATGGATGTTTTTAGCAATGAAGAAAAGTTAACACATTTAATTCTATGTAGTTTAGAAAAACGGCGCCTCAGAGGGGATATGATAACATTATACAAATATATTTGGGGCAATAGAAACCATTATTTGGAAATTTATTCATAATTAGGAATATACACAGGACACAAGGTCACTCACTTTGTCTGGAAGAAAGGAGATTTTGTCTACGGCAAGGTGTGTTGTGTGTGGTGTGGTTTTTTGGGTTTTTTTTGGGGGGGGGAGGGTTTACAGTAAGAATAAGGATGTGAAATTCTCTGCCTGAAGAGGTGGTTTTATCAGTCTATACAGATGTTTAAACAGCAATTTGATAAATACCTGCAAAAACACAATATACAGAGATATAATTTCGAATTTGTGGGGTAATTGTTTCTTGATTCAAGGAGATATCTGACTGTCATTCTTGGTCAAGTAGAAATGTTTTCTTAGTTTGTTGCACAATTGGAATCCCTTCTAACAGGGAATTTGCCTTCTTTTTAATGAACAGCAAAAACAGATGTGAGAAAGCTTGAACTTGATGCATGTCTCTTTACAGCCTATGTAACAAAGTAACTATGTCAATGCTTATGGTGCTGAAAAGTTTAAACTCTTTGAATAAAGTTTGAAACGTTTTACAACAACCAAAAAGCATCCTGTTGATTCAAGTTATGAGACCAATCCTCGCCTATTCCCTCATGTAGTTTCACAGGGGGAATTTTATTCTTAAAAACTTGCTAAAACGCCATAATACATAGTGTTCCCAAAGAGCATTCATATAAATCTCAATCACACGTGTCAAAGGGATATGCTCATTAAGAAACAGGGGTGAGGTGTGAGAGGACAGACTAGAGAGGAAAATCAGTCTGGCAGCATACATTAGACAGTAGCGGGGTCATACGGCTTTTGGGAGGACCAATCCATACAGGAAATTACTAAAGCATGGACAAGCTCTTTGGTAGCATCTTGTGTAAGAAAGGGGCAGATGCAGGCTATGTTTTTAAGTTGGAATCTACAGAATTTGGCAACATACTGAATGTGAGGCTCAAAGTATGACGCCAAGACAGCACACTTGCAAGGATGGACTGATGTGGCTGCCACTAACTTGAAGGGAGAGCGAAAGAGGATCAGTATTAGGAGGAGGAAAGACAAGGAGCTTGGTTTTAGAGAGACTGAGTTTCAGAAAGTGGGAGGGCATCCAGTCAGAGATGGAAGAAAGGCAAGCAGTGACACGTTGCAGGACGGCAGGGGAGAGGTCCGGGGAGGAGAGTTATATCTGGTTGTCATCAGCGTACAGGTGGTAGTGGAATCCAAATGAGGTAATAGGTTTGACAAGAGAGGCAGTATAAAGAGAAAATAGAAGAGCACCAAGGACAGAGCCCTGAGGGACTCCAACCAAGACAGAACGAAGGGATGAGGTATCATTAGAAAAGGAGACACTGAATGAGCATTGGGGGGAGAGAGAAGGAAAACCAAGAGAGGACAGAGTCACAGAGGCCGCGTGATTAAAGTGTTTGAAGAAGGAGAACATGATCAACGGTGTCAAAGGCCTCAGAGAGGTCAAGAAGAATTAGTATGGAGTAGTGGCCTTTGGATTTAGCTGCATATAGATCGTTAGTAACTTTCATAAGAGCAGTCTCAGTAGAGTGGAGAGGGCGGAAGCCAGATTGAAGAGGGTCAAGGAGAGAGTTGGAATTGAGGAAGTGAGACACACGGGTACAGACTAGTCTTTCCAGGCAATTTTGAGGGAAAAGGGAGCAGTGATAGCCTGGTCAATGGAAGAAGTACATCTGTGGTGTGCACGGCAGCTATACTCCATAACATACCAGAGTGGTAAAGAAAGCTAAATGCATCCTTGATTACATTGTTTTATATGTTTAACGCTTATTATATAATGCAATGTAGTTGCCAAGTCCAGAATTTCAACAGCATCTGGTAAAACAAAAGTTGGCTATACCAACTTGGCAAATGTACTCCTCTCCAATTTACAGAAAGATTATTTGGCACTCAAGACCAGCCTGAACTCTGCAAAGTCAAGGGCTGCTCAATTTAAGTTTCACTGGACAGTTTATAAAGCTGAAATCAAATAACTGCAACTGGAGGTATAGAACCCTGCACAGTCCCTTTAAATCTTGTGCATCAACTTCAGCTGAACCTTGTGATGTTCCTACAAATTCAGCAGGGATTTAGATAATTCTGCTGTTTGTTGTAATATGAATGCCACTTCCACTTCGCAGGATTCCTGAATACAAATTGAGCATTAAATCAAACACTTCATATCCATTCCTGAAATTTCTTCACATTTTAACAAACACTCGAACAGCTCACAACAGATAAAACTATAAAAATGTACTCTTAACACTTTGAATGCCACATGGCTTCTTACAGGCCTAGCTGGTAGACGAACTCAGTGAGCAATATGGCATTATAGTTTAGAGACTGGATTGCCATCTTTGATAAGCTCTTGCAATCTTTGGCTTTGGCATTCATTTAAATGTTTGAAAAAGTAAAGTAAACAATATCGATACGGGATACAGAACTTATTGATCTAAAAATAAGAAATGAATGCCATGCGTTTCCTTTTTAGCTGTGCTCTTAAATAGTCTTTTTATTTTGTCTCTTCGCAGTTGTGGTGTAGTGAACTTTCGGCAACTGAGTTTGTGTCTCAGCTAGTGCTTGACAGAGGACTTTGGTTTAAATGTTTTATTTTTTTTAATGTTTAAAGGATGTTTGTGATTTATAAAGGACATAACGATGTGAGCTTGTTTGCCCTTGAAGTGTTTTTAATGTGCGTACTATTAGGTATAGTAGAAGGTCGGCGTACTTAGTTGTGCCCATCTGGTGTAGACATTCCTTTGGTTTATTGGTGGCATTGAATAATACCGTTTTCCCTTGCTTTGCTTTGGTTATCACTACATATGAACTTTGACCTGTATAATATTTCATATCTTGACCTCCGTTTCATTAAATGAGCCCAGCGAGCTAGGGTGCAGGTGAGTGGCTATTTATTTTTAGAAGCTTCTCATATTCCGGATCGTTCTCTGAATGTATTCTGCTGGATCCACCGGCAGGACAGAAGCCAGTCAAACAGACTGTTTCAATATTGGGGAAAGATCAAGATGTTATGAGATTTAATGGAAGATGTCATACAACACCCGAGCATGTCATCTGTCTGATTAGCTGACTCTTCCGTAAATCGTGCCATTACAGGGTGTTTGTAAAAGAAAATGTAAAACTTCAGAACCCAGTTCTTCGGTCATTACTATGTAGCATTCTGCCGCAACTTCGTGAAACCTGAGCCGTATAGGTGATGTTCCCGGAAACTATTTTACAAACTATAGGAATCAAATACTTCTTGGGAACAGATAAAGTGTTCATCTTGTATTAAAAACGGCTGTTTTAAATTGTTTTCTTAAATAATTAATACAGTAAATATATAGCCAGCTGCTAGCCTCCATTTTACATTAAACATATGTTAACTCCTCTGCCTACAGCAAGTTTCACTGAGCCATTATCACCCGAGCACAGCCACGCAGCTGTCACAATGGGAGTGTGCATATTCTCATTATCATAAAAAAAATAAATGAAAATGTTGGCAAGTTTGTAATATGGAAGATTTTTTTAAATTTTTTTTTTTTAAATTTTTTTTTTTATTCTGCTTTTCCCCTTAAAGTTGGTAGTTATTAAAGGACCACTATAGTGCCCTGAGGGTGCCCCCACCCTCAGGGTCCCACTCCCGCAGGGCTGGATGGAGAGGAAAGGGTTAAATCTTTCCTTTTTTCCAGCGCCGGGCGGGGAGCTTTCCTCCTCCTCCCTCTTCTCCTCCTCTTCGGCTGAATGCGCATGCGCGGCAGGAGCTGCACGCGCATTCAGCCAGTCCATAGGAAAGCATTCACAATGCTTTCCTATGGACGCTGGCATCTTCTCATTGTGAAAATCACACTGAGAAGCAAGGAAGCGCCTCTAGCGGCTGTCAATGAGACAGCCACTAGAGGCTGGATTAACCATATTATCATTATAGTTTCTCTGAAACTGCTATGTTTAAAAAAGGGGGTTAAACCTAGCTGGACCTGGCACCCAGACCACTTCATTAAGCTGATATAGCTTGCAAAACCTGCAGGTGTCTTGTCTGCAGCCTTTACAAGCCCTCCCCCTTCTAACCCCACCCAGACTTTCTGTGGCTGTCCAATCACATACTTCTCAATGCATTTAATGAGAAGTCTCTGTAAGAGGTTTGCTCTGGGTAACTGCTGCCTCTTGAGTTTATCTCCACTGAGCTAAACAACCAGGAAGAAACTGGAACGGTTGTTTGACAGCGAGGATGTGTAACAAGGTTAATTGATGATTTTCCAATTTCTATTAAAATCTACACTTTTTGTAAAATGGGAAAACAAGAGGTCACACATAAAGCACTTAAGCAAGCTACAGTGATTTAGGTGTCTGGAGTAACATTAAAGGGGGCCCCCAATCACCATGACCACTTCTGCTTTTTGATGTGGTGGTAGGTGTTTGTATGTACAGTGTTATAGCTTAAAAAATTACACATACAGAGCTCAGTTTAATTGTGTGCTGGGGGCTAGTTGCACCACTCACACGTGATATTAACATTTCTGGATATCTGGGCTCACAGTGTCAATTCTGTGCACAAATAAATCTGTCAGTGCGCTCTGCAGGCTGCCAACAGATATGAAAGTCTGTGTGGGCCCCTCTCGCCTGCCTCCGTTTATTTGTTTGTTTTTGTTAATTTAATTATCAGAATTCCCTTCTAAAATCCCAGCCACCTCACTAACCTCGCCAGGTAAGATTGCGTTCTGAAACGGTCCAATCACAATCTTCTCTATGAGGAGTGACCTCAGGAGGGGGTTTGGAAGATAAGAAATGTGGGCTCTGCCTGATGCTGGATTAAGGTGAGTAAGACTTTTTTTGCAGATACATGTAGTTTATGGACACCACCACCACGCTTGCTGGCTATCTGGAATTTGGTGAGACTGGCATGATTTGGGGTATTTCAATGTCTCCACATCTGGGGACACCAGAGAAAAGTCCCATATAAATCATGTTCTCTAGCAGGATGCTTGTTTAATGCTTGTAATATGACAGTGCTTAATCAGCGCTTTGTGGACAGGCATCCTGAATCGCTGTCGGGCCAATAAACATGGCGCCCTAGCATTCAGGGATCACTCATCCCCTTCACACCCATGAGCATCACCATGATGTGAATTACACTGATCCCCTTGCTAGACCTACTTGACTCCTTTCTGTCTTAGCTAATCCTCGCCATTGTTGGCAAGTATAAAACCAGGCTCGACAATTGACCAATCTCTAGGCAGATCCTGACAGAATTATTAGAAATTTTAAACAAGTATCGGTGGACTGAAAAGTGGTTTCAACAGAAAACATTGAGCCAAAAGCAGAAACTCAATTTAAGCATTCATGGAGTCAGTAGGAGGATTTAAAGCTATACTGTGTGTGATCAAGGGCTCTGGAAAGCAATTCAGCTGGCCTTTTCGAACCTCATGCACACCAACCATGGCTGGGAGCTCTGACTATGCAAAATATTTCAACCACTTCCTATTTGACACATTGAAACCTTAAACCGTCTGATAACGTCGGCCTTGAGTAACTATTTAAGTGCATTCTTCTTCTGATTTCACCTTATATCGCCTGTGTAAAGAGAGGCCCATGAAGTGAAATGTTTTTTTTGTTTTTTGTTATTTCTTCAAAATCATTTACAATCTGAACAGTTTAGAAAAAATAAAAGAATTCAAAACCTTTGAAATCATAAAAACACACCAAGGATTTGTCAGCCAAGGTCACACTTTTATTGAATATGCAATTATCTTCAGAATATGAATCTTAGCATTTATTATTCAATGAACTTCAGGCTATTGAGAGGAAGAGGAAATTGTTATCAGAAGCAAAACTGTGTTTAAAAAGTGTGTATTCCCTTACTGTATAATATAAATGACAATGTTTAAAAGGGACATTGTGACCGCTGAGGGAAAACATGATTTAAAAAAGCCCAGATATTAATCTTTCCACATACGTTCTTGTTTGGTGCACAGGAGGTTAAAAGCCCTGGTATCACCCTTCGCATTGGTAAATATTTCTGCCGTCTTCATCAAACTGAAAATAAAGATCCCTCCCATGGCAACGCATTGAAGTGTATTTTATACCTTCCTCTGACTCATTGTGTTTCTCTATATATAAGTTTACAGAGGATATAGCTGTGTACAACATAGGAGACTGGTCTGAGCTCTGATCTGATTAGCGGGCGTTGGACCTTATATCATGTTAAATAAGAACATGCCTATTCTAGGCTGCTCTTATCTGCAAATTAGAAGAAATGTGTCTGAGTGCCAGCGTTTCATTTATTATTTTTTCTGCAGTCTTTTCCTGTCTTAAATCTCCAGTCTCTGCTCATTAGAAAGAAGTGGACTTTTTTCCTCCTTAAGACAACAGATCCTTTGAATCTGAGGCCAGGGAGTTTGTTTGGAGATATTTCATTTGCCGTTTATTTTTAAGTAGGTTTGTTTAATGTGAATTGCTAAAGAGTCTCTTGAAGTGCTGCCCTTTAACTAGTCAGTCTAGGACACAGTTATCTCAAGCCACCCCCTAGATGGTCAAAATCTGACCGTTACCCAACTATGTATCCACAGAGGATAATGCATAGCATAGGGGGCACCACAGGTACTCCGTGTCAGAGCTCTGGAAGGTTGAACGAGTTTGGGCAGAAGACTTTGATAGATGCATATTCCAACATTTCAAATAGACAAAGAGGGACACTTTTTTTTTTTTTTTTTGTCCCTTTTTGCCTTATCGCTTGCATTTTTAGTGTATATAATTGTATTACAGAATTCCACAGTAAAACGTGCAGAATGGATTAATAACAAAGCTCCACTACAGTAAAACTCACCATAATGGGCAGTGTGTATGAGTGTCAGAGCTCCACAACCATAAAACCCACTATAACGGGCACTATGTATGAGTGTCTCACAGAGCTCCACAGAATTTAAACCTTGTGTACCCAGATTCTATTTAATAGTCCCGAATTGGTGTCCTTTTATGCTGTCTCCGGTTTATTTACAGCTCGGTCTGTAAAAATTAAATACACTACACAGACCATATGACAGCACACTGGGCTACAGTGAGTGGGCAGGCTTTCCCTGCTGCATTACCAGTGACATCTCTGACAACCCCCCACTCACCAAGGGGACCATTCCCCTCCGATGTTCATATCCCCATTGTTGGCAAATATGCATTATTACAGAGCCTTACAGGGGACGTTTTATTATAAAAGCTGGTTTCACCAGCTCCTTACTGATCTAGCCGTGTGCACTTTGCAAATTGCAGCCAGTGTGCCTCCTAGGCCGGTCGGGCACACTCTAACAGGAGCTGTCAGTAGAAGCACTGTTTTAGTAACTACCACTGTTCTGTATTGTGGTGCAGTATACTTGGCTGCCTTCTCCATTTCTGACCATTACAATCTTTGTTTAGTAAGTGTATCTCTTGAAGGCTGCGCATGGCCGACTCCCAGAAAGCATTTTTATGTGAGTAATGTTTAGTCGAGGTCACTTTGTATCAGTCCTAAGCAACTTTTAGGTTTTCTAACTTAACGTGCAATAGCTGCAGATTGCGGCTTTTTTTTCTGTAGCCGGACACCTTACGTCAGAGGTCTCTCATCTAGCAAAGTGTGAATCTCTAGCAAAAGGGTTACTATTCATAAACTTTTTTTTTTTTTTACTAAAGTGCAACTTTCAAAACTCTTGGCCAGCTGGCGGAATTTCAGTAAACTGTTGCTACATTTTGGTTCACTGTTGCCAACTGCCAAGGTTCAGTATGATTGAGGGTGATGGTATTCAACCAAAAGGTCCACTCAGGGATACAAAGTTGTTATAGGAACATTTCATTTTCCCTTTTCAAGTCTGTATGAGTTTTGATAAATAGCTGTGATTCTGTATGTACCATCTGTCATTTCACATGGATTTGCTATTGCTAGCATGGCTCTGTTTGTGTGACGCAGTGCTCCGGAGAGTAGGTATTGGATAGTGTATTCAAGCATGCACCCATGAACGCACTCCTTGTATTCTCTCATACCCGGTTAAATCACTGCAACATGACACCAATGGAAGTTGTGAGTTTCCATGTGAAACTGTGCTCAGAACTTTGTATTCCCTGAGAAGTGGAAGAAATTGTGGCTACATGTGTAATACTTCAGACAAAACAGTAGAAAAGGGTAAAAGTGGATTGATTACTTTGTGAGAATAGACAGAAGTGCAATATTCACATTAACTGAGAACCTCAATGTAGACAGTGCCAGGGCAGTTTGGACCTGGGTGCCCATCACTATGAGCACTAACCGCAGGCGTGAAATGTGATATGTTCTGAGTGCTGCCCTTCAATGCTTTACCACCTGTGTATTCTCCTGGGATGGGAATTTTATATAAAAACATTATTATACGAGAAGACTAGGAGTGCTTTTAAAACAAATCTATTGTGTTCTTTGTTCAGGTTGTCTTTGGGCCCTATAAATGGCACCTCCTTGTAGTCAATGATGGAGTGCCAGGATACCCTATGTTGGTTATTCCATGCAATTTACAAATAAGGAGAGCCGTATTTATAGCGACATGCTTTTATGCTTTAACACTAATACAATACAACTGAAGTCTTTTTAGTGTATAGATGCCATTTAGGAGTTAAATCATTTTGTTTATAGAGCCCTGGTCACACCTCCCTGCATGTGACTTGCACAGCATTCATAAACACTTCATGTAAAGTGAGATCTAATGTCTACATGTTATTGTAAATTCTATTTGATTTAGAATTTTTTATCTCCAGCACTGTTAATAGCCTTGTTCAATTTACAGAGCAGGAGATAAAAACTTTTCAAGTAAGTTAACATCTGATTGAAATTGAAACTTCTTTTATGCAGGCAGTGTCAGTTACAGTCAGGGGAGTAGTGTCCTGGGGCTGCATAAACAGAAACAAAAGTGATTTAAGTTCTAAATGGCACAGAATTGATCACTGACACAAAGGTATTTTGGTGCCTATAGTATCCCTTTAACAGAGAAGTTAAAAGTCCACCTACATGTTCCACCCATGAGTTCGCTCACAGGGAGTGGAGTGTGTAGGGGATGTGTTATGTGTTATTGTAGAGGATCCAATGTGTGTGCTTATGGAATGTAGTGTATAGGGATACCAGTTTGTGCAGGTGATGTAGTGTGTTTGTAGTGGAGGCAGTGTGTGTTTGTGTATAAGTGATGTATTGTGTGAATCTGTGTTTGTATGCATAAGGAATGCAAGGTGTGTGTCTGTAGTGTGTGCATTGAGTGTGTGTATGAAATGCATTGTTTCTGTGTATATGTAAGAGAAGCACTGTGTGTGTTTGCATTTGTGTGTTTCTGTGTATGTGTGCAAAGGATGCATTGTCTTTGTGTGTAATGGATGCATTGTGTGTTTCTGTGTGTGTAGGGATGCATTGTGTGTTTGTGTATGTATAGGGATGCATTGTGTGTGTGTGTGTGCGCGTAGTGTGAAAGAGCTCCCTGTCCTGCCCCCTGTCCTATAGAGCTCTCCCCTGCCCCTTAGTGGTCTCTCCCCCCCCTTCCCTAGCAGTCACTTCTCACCCACCCACCCTCCCTGTGCTCTTCTCATCCCCCCCCCCCAAACCTCCGGTATTCTTTTCAGCCCCCTCCCTCCCTGTGTTCTTCTCACTCCCCCCCATGTGTTCTCCTCACCTCCCCCCATGTGTTCTACTCACTCCCTCCACCCTCCCTGTGTTCTTCTCACTCCCCCACCCTCCCTGTGTTCTTCTCACCTCCCCCTCCGTGTTCTCCTCATCTCCCTTTCTCTCCCCTCCTCCCTGTGTCCTTCTTACTCTTCCCCCTCCTCTCTGTGTTCTTCTTACTCCCCCTGTTCTTCTTAACCCCCCATTCTTCTTAATCCCCCCGTTCTTCTTAATTCCCCCAACCCCCCTGTTCTTCTTAATCTCCCCACCCCCCTGTTCTTCTTAATCCCTGCACCTCTCCCCCTTCTTCTAATCCCTCCCCCCTTCTTCTTAATCCCTCCCCCCTTCTTCTTAATTCCCCTTCTTCTTAATTCCCCTCCTCCCCTTCTTCTTAATTTCCCCCCCCCCCTTCTTAATTCCCCTCCCCTTCTTCTTAATCCCCCCTTCTTCTTAATTCCCCTTCCCTTCTTCTTAATCTCCCCACCCCCTGTTCTTCTTAATCCCCCCACCTCTCCCCTTCTGCTTAATCCCCCCCCTTCTTCTTAATCCCCCACCCCTCCTTCTTAATTCCCCCCTCCCTTCTTCTTTCCCAATTCCCCCCTTCTTCTTAATTCCCCCCCTTCTTCTTAATTTTCCCCCCTCCCCTGTAGCGTGGCCGAGCTGCTCCGCTGTCCACGGTGCCGGCCGGACTGATAGGAAGGTGCACGCTGAGTGTGCAGTTCCTGTCAGTCCGACCGGTTACAGGACACAGAAACTCCTGTTCCGCGCGGAGTTTCTGTTTCCTGTAACCGGCCGAACTGACAGGAAGTGCACACTCCTTCCTATCAGTCCGGCCGGCACCGCGGACAGCGGAGCAGCTCGGCCACGCTACAGGGGAGGGGAGGAGCAGCCGCCTGAGGCTCTTCACAGAGCGCTCAGGCGGCTGCAGCATTTAAAGGGCCCGCTCTGCAGCGGCCGGTCCCAACAGAATTTAGGGTGGCCGGGGGGGCAATTGCCTCCCTGCCCCCCGGCCCAGCCCGTCCCTGGTATATACTAGAGTATAAGCCCCACTCGGCTTATACTCGGGTCAGTGTCTATATTATGGCAACTTACATTGCCATAATGCGGTCCTGTTGGGGGCTGGCTGCAAGCTCTTACTTACCTTTGTAGCAGCTCATTAAGGTTACTGGATTTATTCTAGATATTGTAGCCCTTTCACCCCTTTTTTGATTAACTCTTATTCTTTTTATTAAGTTTGAAAGACCCATTCGATATACTGATGTGTTCTATCTGTATAATTATACTACATGATTACTGCACTTCTAGTCTTGTTTATTACAGTGAGTTTATAGTGACAGTCTTCTGTACCTTAGTAACATTTATTCTGCACAGTGATTCTTTCGTCCTGTTATACATAGAGACTAATACATTAAACAGGAGCATTTAACTCCTTTCAGTGGGTTCCCTCGCATTGTATTTAAATTAAACTTAGACATAGTTCATATTTATTGTAACAGATTCTATTGAATTTTACTGACAATTTATTTTACACTTCATTTCTGACATGTAAGAATCAGTACATTTAATTAGTTGTCAGCTTGTATCAAGGGGTTCCCATGTACTGTATCTATTTTTGATCTATAGATACTATTAGTCATTTACTCTCCTTATTGACTTATCGATCTATTTTTTTTCATTCATTTTTATTATATATAATTTTTGTGTGTATTTGTATGTTTGCTCTTTGTTCTGACTGCCGTAATTGACTTTTTATTAGTCAGGCAGCCATAGCTGGGGTTTTTTCAGATTTATGTCTCCTATTTACAAAATAAAGAATCTTCTAGACTTTTAACAGTTCGTGTGTATCTAACATTAGCATTAGGAACAGATCGCTTTCTTTCTTTATAGGTAAAGGTAGTTACAACTCTCTCTGCCTTCCTTGTGACACTTCCCATCGAGTGCAGCAAACAGAGCAAAGCTTTGCTGTAGAAAAAAAAACAAGTTAGATTGGCCAGTGTTTCCTTTTTCATCATCTTCATCATCTGTTTCCCTACCTACAGTCCCCAGCCGGGGAACAAATGCCTTATGCTGCTTTCTGGAATTGTAAACAACTGCATCTCTGGGGTTGACGCCAGCGCAGTCTGCGGAAATGGCATAATAACACTTCACACAGCCTGAGACCAGGGACACATTTGTAATCTGTGTCGGTTAACAAGATAATGCTCTTGTAGAACTGACACAGTCAGAGAATTCCCTTGACGTTACCTTAAATGCTTTCATGTGCGCCAACACTGAATGGAGTAAATGTGCTATCTTAATTTATCTGGGATGTGGTTTCAGCTTTATCTATCCTATATGAAACATACTGGGTTTCACCTGCAGTCTCTAAGTTTGGTTGCGGAGACCCTAGACGAAGCCCGTCTTCTCCAAGGGGTGGAGTTGTGGCAGTATACACTCTTCCTCAGTGAAATAACAGGTGCACTTAAACAGGGCCCTCAACGGTTCTTTTTCAGGTCTAACTCTTACCACATAAAAGTACTGTATTTTGGGTACAATCCTGAATTTGGGCCTCTGTTCTGCCATTCTGAGTCTGTTCTCTGATGTTCCACTTCTGGGGGGAGTATAAAAAAAAAGTCCGTATATAGTGCAAAGTGAGCACACCGTTAATTGTTTGAGCTGTGTGGAAATTAACTCTGGGGATTCTGTCCATATCCACGCACAGCACATGGACTAGCGAACATGATTACCTGGCATGTATGCCATGCCGACACACACCCAAACAGTTACTCCTAACAAAAAATTTTTTTTAAAAAAATCTTACACCTGGTCCTGCTAACTTCTGTCTTGTGAATAGACTGTGAATAGTGAATAGACTGTATAAACCTCATAATAGCTGCTGGAGAGTGTGGATCATCTGCAGATATTCGTAAAGACGCATCCCACTCTGGCGCTGTGGGTGTGGCCTCCCGAGAGGTTGCGTCAGCCAGCCACTCATGGTTGGGTGTACCTATAGTGACAGCTACAAATGAACTAATCTGCCATAGGCAGATTATAGGCCGCTCTCACTTTAACTTTTGCCCTCACAGGGCCATTCAGAAGTTGAAATCCAAAAGGCAAAATTTGAAATTACAATTTCCATGCTGTTGGAGAATTTTTTGAATTAGCTAGTTTCACCCCCATTTTGCCATTAGGATTTCAATTCACTACAATTGAACATTTTATTGAATAACCCGGTCGGCACACCAACACTCAAAGGGTTACAGTTGTATTCGTTAGTTAAAGCTGCTGGCCAGGAAGCCTTTTTTGTCTCAAATTGCAGGTTTGTCCTTTAACATCAAACGCCCCCAGCACCCAGGATACTTCAATGGAATTGTTTTGTGGCTCTGCCAAACAGCTTTATGGCAGGGACTTCAAAAAACACAGCGATTAATTGAAGTCCATTTATTAAAGGCAATGCTTCCAGCAGCCTGTTTGCCACGGTATCTGGATTGCCTGTGTGCAATGCACATGGAGGAGTACAATAAAGATTTGTCTCAGAGACACTGATGGGAATATTTATTGTTTGGTCTTTGAAGATGAAGTAAAACAGTTGATTCAGCATAAGCAAATCTGTAACTAGATCGCTGGCTCCAAGCGAGCCTATCATGCCAATCAGTGTTACCCAGGTCAGGAGCTGCAGATGGAGCATGAACCCTTTTGGGGTTTATTTACTAAATGTTGAATTGTGGAGGACTTTTCAAGGAGTCAGACATTTAAAAGGTGTTGCCTCATTGTTACTCACCTGTAAACGAATACCTCGTCATGTTGATCTGATTTTGCTAAATTAACGCCAAATGACCAAAGTTGTGTATTTTGTCATCGCATACTGCAACTCGCTACTTAGTGGATAAACCCTAAAGTCTTTACGGTTCTGGGGTACAGGTTCAGCTGGTGAGTGCTGCATCTTGGGATCCGTGAGAAGCACTGGGAATCTCCAATAATCTTCATAATTCGTCTTTATAGCGGGGAACCACCGTTCTTCCTGTGTCATTGTTAACACTTTCACTGGTTTGATTGTCACTGTTTGCAACCCAGATACTAAAAAAAAAATAAAAAATAGATTCCACGTGGCTGGCTGAGCATTGTGTGGTTTACAGTCCACTGATTGACTTTTCCCTGTTTGAATGGGTAAGCTGGAGAGGTAACCGTTCGTGCTCTGGATTTTGTTAAAAGGAAGTGATGCCCTTGAAATGGGGGCTGGATGTGTTGGCAGATTATTTTCAGACACTGATCGCTGCCAATATAAATTTCCACCTATACTACAATACCAGTTTTGTTGGCGACACCGCAGTTACATTTTGCCGGAGTTACTTGGTAACACTTGTGCCAAGCACTCTGGGAGAACGTGGCACACTACTGTATTAGGATCTTACTGTTGTGGTGCCAATATCTGTGTGTGCTATTTTGCTGTAATCTTGACTTTTTTTTCCATCTTTGTATAAAACCTGCATATAAAATCAGTCCAATTGCTGTATTTTCCATATATTACCCATCTCTTTCTGTGTGTGTGTGCATATACGAGAAAATGACAACTTGTCAAAATAACAAAATAAAAATCCAGTGGTTTCAGACCATGAATAATGGGGAAAAAAATACATATTCATTTTTAACACAATACTAATGTTTTAACTTGGATTATGGTCTCGGTCTGGTGGTTCTCCATCCCCACTTTGACCTGGCTGTGTGGCATAAAGCATTGTCATGTTGGCAAAAATAATCCTCAGAGTTGGGGAACATTGTCAGAGTAGAAGAAAGCAAGTTTTCTCCCAAGATAATCATGTGAGTTATGCATCCTTCACAAAGATGCCCCTTCAGCCCTGCTGAAGCTCCTCCAAAGTCCAAACTGTGGCGGAACCAGCCTCGCCACTGGGCATTGGAGAAGACTGATTGCCAGCCTCCTGCCCTGTGACTATGGCCCCATGTTGAAATGCTGGATTTTCCCCTGCAAAGACCTGAAAGCCGGGTCATTCGGTACTTTCCCTATGTGAGCAGTGTTACCCCAGATAGCTATGCCATGGAGCCCATTCGTATAACGAAAAACTATGTGAAAGACTTTGGCTCCATGGCAATTGAACTGTATGTGTGTGCTCTGAGCGCCATTCAGTAATAATTTGCGCTCAGATCTAAGCTATCTGGGGATATGTTGAATGTACCTATTTTATGCAATCGCTGCACAGTTATATATTTTTATGTATTTTATTGTATTTTGCTACCATGTGGCTAATGGAGTTTTGCCTCTGTCCTTGGAGATAATTGGATTACTTCCCAATTATCTCCAGGATAGAAGACTCTGTGGAACTGGTTTTGGGCAGAAAAACCATGCTTCATTTTGTCAAATAGGACTTTCCCTTAACTTTTTAACCCCTGAACTGATTGCCCTGATTTTTGGGTATGTGTATATTTCAAGCATGCAGATTCTGAAAATGTATGTTTTATGTGAATGGCATGTATATTTGGGACGTTATTAATATTTTGTAAAAACTGTATTTCTCTGCCTGTGATAATTATATTACCCATTGTGTTCAGTAATCATATCACAGGCAGAGGGGAGGATTTTGTGTGGGAGTGTCTGTGTGTATTGTACGGATTGATTGGTTGTATTTCAAAACCCTGTGGGCAGTACTATGTTTGTGGATTGTGAATAAAAGAGGCTGTATGTGCCAGTACAGTCAGTTCTGCTTGACCTCAAAACGAAGTGTCGTCTCGTTATTGGGAGAATTGGATTGTATGCTGATTGTATGCTTTTTCCTGTTCAGCTGCTTACAGCATTCAAATGCTTGAGAGCATTCGTATGCTTCTGTGGTTCAGTGGTTGTGGTGTCTGCTGCAGTGCTTGGAGTCCTCAGGAAGCGCTAGGAGCATCCTTCAACGGAGGTACCCAGTTGGGGTGCCAGGTGATCCGTTACACAAACCATCACTGATCCCCAACCAAATTACACATTAGGTGCAAGACACTGTGGCTTGTAGGCCTCTCCAGGTCTCTGTCTAACCGTTAGATGATCAAGTATTGGGAAAATCTAAAAAATTGGACTCCAATCCTTATGGTCTTTTGCAAACCTTGCAAAGCCTGGCTCCTCTTTGTTTCTTTTTGAGTACCTTTTTCTAGCTTTGCATGACTTCAACCCTGCCTCTAGGAGCCTGTTTCGGACCATCCTCAAAGTGCACTTCACCCAAGCTGCAGTTTGCCATTCTTTTTGTGGGTCACTTGATGTCATTCTGTGCTTGTTGAATGTCATGCAAATGAGTTGGACGTCATTCCAGCCAGTGGATAGTGGTGTACATTCCAGGGGGCCCGGCCGCCCTGAGGAACCCTGCAACCGGGTGCCCGCCGCCGTCCAATGGGTCCATCGGGTGGCCCATGCTGTTAGGGCCACCCCATGGGTATGGATTTTCAGGGGGCCCGGTCAGCGCTGGGTGCTTTAACAGCATGACTCGGCCCCCTGTGATGACATCAAACACTGGGAGGAAGTGACTGCCCCAGTCACTCCTTCCAGCATAAACAGAGCCCGCGTGGGAGGAAGCAGAGGAAGGAGTCTCATCTACAACGAGATGCTGATTGGTGCAGAGCGGTGTTTTGGCACACATGATGCACTAGCCTCCCAATGCTTCTCTATAGGAAAGCACTGGATTGGCTGTGAACGTCAGAATTGATCATCTCAGCCATAGAGGTGGGCAGGCCACAGAGAGCAGCATGTTGAGGGAGAAAAGGTATGTAAATCTTTTTTTCATGTATGTGGCTGGGGGTGCATCTACTAAACTGCTACATGCCACTATAGCATTACGAATATATAGTTATTATTATTGGTATTTACATAGCACCAACTTATTCTGCAGCGTTTTACAATAATGGTTGTATTCCTAAACCATAAATGTAGTTCAAACTATAATAAATGTGTTTATAAATCAGTCTGTATGAATAAGATACATTGCTCTTGTTCTCTGTTGCATTTCAGTTAATTTATTAGTTAGTCACCTAAAATTTCTCAAAACCGTTTTCCCCTACAATTAAAGTCATACTTTGTCCATGCGTCTCCTTATTATATTTATGCAAAGTACGGTTATATTTGTTAAGGGACATGTAGATTATATTATTTTTTAAAAATTCGTTTTTTCTCAGCTTCATTTCCTTTTGTTAAAGCGGCACTGTCATGCCGAACTTAAATTTTTTTTAATCGATTTCTCTTCTTTTTGTGGGGAAATTGCTCTGACCACCAGAAACAAAGCACACTTTGCTCCTCTGCTGGTCATAGCTGGTCAGGCATAGGAAACCTCCATGAGACGAATAGTCCCTACTTTGTCTTATGTTTTTAAAGAAAAATAGAGCAGACAGGAAGAAATGAAGAACAGATCCTGACAGAGGGAGAGAAGAGGAATTGATTAAAGAAAGGTAAGTTCGGCATGACAGTGCCGCTTTAAGTTGTGACTTTTCATTGTGTGAATGCAGTAATTTGTGTTATGGTACCATACACAAGACACAGGGTTTATTTTGTTTACTAAGTGGAAACTGCGAAATTGCGTACAAAAATAGTTTAAGTATTAAAATTCTTTCTTTTATTTTTTGAAGCTCTGCTATTTTGGCCTGTATTTTTCAGTTTCCAAGTGATACATGGTAGAGTGCAAAATATTTGAAATGTAACCTTTTGTCAAAGTGTGCAGATTTTTCTGTAACAGATTTGAATTTATGGCAAAATGAACTCATGTTTTTTCTATCTTTCTTTCTCTCCGCAGCATTTGTCCAATGGTCGCCAACCCCCCCATTATGTCTATGACCCAGCAATGTTTGCCTTCCGTTCTCTTAGCACCGTAAAGCCTATTAGCCCATTAGTTCCCGTTGAAGAGCCTAAATGTGCCTACTAAACGAAGATTTGTGTTCTATTCTCAGGACCTTCGCAGATAGACCAATCCGCCTTCAGCAGCACAAACCTGTCGCTATAAGCAATAAGGATGCTTTAAACAGACTGTCTTCTATAACGTTTTGCTAAGACCAGCATTGACGACCTGTCAAAGATAATGAAAAAATATAGTAGTCTGTATAAAGTTAAGCAAGTATATGCTTTTCAATATAGTACGTTAGAATGAAACAAAGGTTGGTGGATCTAAAGACTGGACAAAGTGGTGGTTTTGGTAAATTAACACAGATTGATTTTCGTAGAAAATGGCAGAAGTTAACCAACTCTCAAACAAAGGAGTAAAAGAACAAAGGTTTAGAACTAGGGAATAATGGATTAAAACTACAAATATCAGGTTTACTTTTCTCCAAGATCTAAATATTCAATATTTGTATGTAAAGAAATCTTAAAAATATTTTTAAGAAGTCTGGATGTAAAGCGGGATTTAGAGATGGTTAGGAGTAATCCCGTCCAGTGAGCTAGCCTTCCAAGATGCCTTAGACTTTGCTATCCTTGAGCGTTCTAGCTTTGAATTAATCGAACGCGCATGGGTGGTAGAATGTATTGTTGGCATGCATTGAGACAGAATATACTGTGTGATCAGTGTGACCAGGAAACAGATGTTCTGCAGTTTTAATGATGCATGGATATTATTGCGCTACAGTAACCAGAAATAATTTTTTTTTGTTTTTTTGTTTTTTTGTTTGTGTATCTTACTGCAATGTCATTAACATCTATCATGGGATTGCGTGGCCAGATCTCCAGGTCAGGAGTAGGTAATCGGCTACCGTAAATCTTTGTCCAACACTCTTGGATCAGGGAGAGTAATCCATGCATGTCAAATTTTTGGCTAACATGGAACTCCCCCCACTTGCCTCATGAGACACCTGAAGACAAATGGTGCTGTAGGTAAATACACCTACACCTCCCAATACTACTGCTCTATGCAGGGAGGTCCCGGGCTTCGGCAGGTGTTCCACCTGCTCTCTGGTGCCTGATGTATGTCTGTATAAAGAGCCATTCTGGGGCAGCATTCGAAGAGTGGATCAATCACCAGGGAAACAAATTAAATGCTTCATTGGCTTGTTGTACCTTTCGTGGTTTGACCCAGAATGTCTTTTTATACATAACCAATAAAGTCTGGCTGTGGATAGAGTTTGGAGATGTACAGAAGGTAACCCCATGCCCCTGGTGGATGCCTGCTTTGCTCCTTATTGACTTAAGATAACCTGATTTAGGAATGCATAAAATGTTTAGGCCCCATTCCTGGGATAACAATCTGCTTCACGTTCTAAGTGATTGCTCCTTATTCAGTAACTCCGTAAATATTCTGTGGGGTTTTGTTTTTTGTACATGTCCAGTACGAGCTCCTTGTGGCCACCCCTTACTGCTGGCTGGAATCAGGCATTCTAATCAATATTAAAACATCAACTTATAGAATGGAAGAAAAGGAATGTTTAAAAGGGGGAAATAAAGCTTTATTAACCAGTGAATATCCAGCTTCTAGAACAAACAATGTGCAGGAGAAAGGAATGGAAAACGAAATATTACAACTCTCCAAGTGTGTGACATTATCAAAGCATTAAACTGTACCTGACATGGTGGCACTTTACAGCCAATTGTCATATCATTCAGTCATCATTCTAGAAACTGAATAGATAAAATGATTTCTTTTTTACCTTTTCAGTTGCTAATTGCGTGTTTTGACATAGAGGTAATCTCGGTTTTAGTGGGTGCTGGTACAATAGGGAGCCAAGGAACCCAATGAATGCACCTGACTCTGTGCACTCACGCATTGTAGAGCAAACCCTTATGCTCTCATTTGGGAATGAGGCTCTTGGACCTGCGCAAATGCAAAGCCTGCAGTAGATATTTAGATGCAGATCTCGGGTAGATAGAACATTTTATTTCTTTATTTACGTATCACTTTGCTAGCACAAGCGTAGGTTACATTTAAAAGTTTCCAGACGTGGAACTTGACAGATCTGATTTGAAAGCCCCAGTTGTCCCATAGAAAGGCTGCCTCCTGTATGGAGTTTTGCATCTCTGTGTAATGAAGACCCACAGTATGATAGTATTTGGGCAAATCCAAGTCTCCATCACATGTGGTTTTAATAGTGCCTTAACTTGGCATATGGAGCAATGATGGATCTGAGAATAAGTGCAGGTCACTTTTTTTATTCAGTACATAGCTTTCTGATTGCCAAAAATTTCAAGGAGAGTCAGCACAAAATTCTGGGATCCCAAAAATGGGGTTTTAAATAGTAATGGATACCTTGTTTCACCACTCCCACTGCACTAGACACCGGGAGTGGGTCTGTCTGTAAAGTCACTTGCTCTGTAAATTGGTAACAAATCTAGCTCCCTAGGCTGTCTGTATTTTTTGGAAATCAGTGAATTAAAAGGACACTATTGTGTGCAGTGCCCCTGGTGTTTGGCTCCTGCAATGTAAAGCATTGCTGTTTTGGAGATACAGTGGTTGTTACACTGACAGCAACTAGACAGTGCCTTCACTGAGTGAACAGAGTCAGTCTCAGCTACTTGACATTTGATATGAAAGGGACACTATAGTCACCTGAACAACTTCAGCTTAATGAGGTTGTTCAGGAGAGAACTATAGCTCCCTGCAGCCTTTCTCATTAAAATACAGTGTTTACATTGAAAGCTAGGAACACCTCCAGTTGCAGTCACTCAGAGTGAACCAGAGGGACTTCTGAGTTGATGGAGTCATAATATACCTCCATCCACTCAGATCTGCTGTGCACGAGCGTCCTGTGATTCAGTATCTCCTCCCACTGCAGGCAGACACTGAACTTTCCTCATAGAGATTTATTGATTCAATTAATCTCTATGATGACATACTGATTGGCCAGGGCTGTGTTTGAAACATGCTGGATCTGCCTCCTTGTCAGTCTCAGCCAATCCTATGGGGAAGCACTGTGATTGGATCAGGCTATCACATGTCAGCAGACTGCTTGTTTTTCCTGAGTCTAACAGCATGCAGATTTACAGCTTCTGGCTTGAATACAGTAAGATTTATACTATATTTATGGAGGCATGAGGGGCCGAGGGGGGCTAGATGGTCGTGTTAACGCTATAGGGTCAGGAATACATGTAGTTGCACTGGTGACTATAGTGTCCCTTTAAACATTTAATCAATACATCTTGTAGAGAAACATTAAATGCAATACTTCTCTATGCAATTGATTGGAGGAGTGTGACACTTGTCACATATCCGCTTATCACCACAATGCTTCTCTAAGTAAATTTCGATTGTGTGTAAAATTTAAATGAGGGGAGGGGGGTGAGAGGGGAGGAAAATTTGTACAGTATAGCTTCCCTTTAAAATTAAGGTGCAGATCGGAGAAAGTAGTTGCACTGTGAGTATAATAGCAATGTGGCAATCCAATAAGCCGGTGAATGTTCTCTGTAAAACAGGAGGTTTCATTGGAGTTTAAACACATTCTGTTAGTAAATGTATCTCAGCCCCACCACCTCCTGCATATTGATTGACAATGTCTTGTCTTTTATCGAATCAGTTTTGTGCTTGACGTTTTTATTTTTAACGTGGCACTGTCACCATCACTATCCTAAAATCTAGCTGTCTAAGCGTGAAGGTGGCCATAATTTTACCCTCCATGTCCACCCCTCCCAGTAACCGTTACTGAGAATAACAAGGCGGCCGACCAGGTTCTGTGATTTGCAGAGTAACTTTTGGCTTTCCAATGTGGATAAAACCAGGAATAATTAATTCAATCTCTGATGTAGCACCAGGCCCAACATGCCCAAGGCTAGCTAGAATTCGTTTATTTTTTTGTTTTACAAAACAATGTAAAAATGATCAGCGCGTGGTGTATGCAGTTTTCAACATGCTCTGTGATGGTGCATAGACTACGCGAACAGAGCTGCTGTCATAGTAAAGTAAAACAAGTTCCCCCTAAAATTTTATACTGTAAATGCCCCGAATAAAATGGAGACAGAGCAAAATGAATCCATTATACCGAACACAGCAGAAGAGAGCAAAATAATTGTGGATATTTACGAATATGTGAGTTGTTGTGAATTCGCCTGGGTTTCAAATTTAAGGTCACAGCAGCTGAGCTGGAAACATAGCTTACCTGGAGAATTTGTTCCATGTTGGCCGAGTTGGCTTAGAATTTGAAATTCCTTGGTGAATATTAGTGAGTGACCTTGTTGATGTGTTACGATTTGTTCTTATCGTTTGCTGGGTTACGCATTTCACCCGTTGATGTGCGATGGATTAGGACACACCGCTTTTATTAAAAAAATGCCGTATAGAATTACAAATAGCTAGATAATAAAATACAACTACAGACTGACAGACTGACAGACAGACACGGTTATCCCACAAACTAGATATATCCAGGTTGGATCAGATCGTGCTGGTCTGATACTAACAGATCTTCAGTCATTTATAAGGACAGCGCATTTTATAGGACTGTTTTTTACTTTAGTAAAAATGCCACTGTTTCTGTAATGATAACTTCCCTGCAGCCAGCAGTTTCCCTCTCAAACAGATATTGGTAAGTAATCGATTCAGAACAGGCCATTAGGATTTGCTGAACAAGGAATAATAAGCACCGTTTGTTTTGTAACCCTTTCGGTGCCAGGGCACTGCACTGGCCTTGCACTGGAAGGATTGAATGCCCAATTAAATGCAAATCTTTTAAACCATGCGCTAAGTGATAAGTGCACCAAGAAACGTTAAATGTTACGTGAAAATATATGATTTTAGTGCTGTTGGCTATTTTTTGAATATTAAAGGAACTGACTGTCACACACTCCTGTAGCTACAAAACTATTTTTGTACACATATTTTTGTAAGAGAGGTGTGTTTATTATATTATTTTTCTCAAAGAGCTTTTCTAGTGTAACAGCTACTAAATTGTAGATAACCACTTGTTATTTCTATGGAAAAGGTTTGGTTAACACAATAAGTGCTGGCAGTGCAATGCTTTGCACATACCCACATCTGTGGCACTTGACTGGTTTAAAAAAAAACAAAAAATGCATTCACCATTCAAAAGGATGTTTTCGTTGCCTCACAAGCTCTGTTGCTTCTGAAAGAGTTAAATAAAAAAAAAAAATTAAAAAAACATAAAAAAATAAATAAAAAATGAACCATCAGTCAAGTGGTTATATAGCACGATTATGCTATTTTAACAGAAAAACGACGGACGCTCTCCAGCGACCAAAGTGTTGGCGTATTCTCCCCTTTCGCACTGGGGGTAACAGTTTCCATTATAGGATTCTATAGGAACCTAAGGTTAATTAACCCTTTGAATGCCATGGTGGGGACAGTAAAACCCAATGCTTGTGTCCCTTTTGTGTTTTGTAGGGTTAAAGAAGTGCATTGAATAATGGAGAAACAATAACCCAAAAACCTGCATTGTGCAGTTTTTCTAGAGATGAATTTAGGCAGCATTTCATTGCAGTAGGTAGTTAGTAATAAGCTGAAGCTCCTGTGGGTAATTCCAATGATGTGTGATGCAGGTATGTGGTCGTGGCCTGGTTTAGGTGGCAAAACTAACTACTGTAACATGGAATGTAAGCTAAAATGGGAACGGTGGCGCAGCCCCCTCAATGTACCTAAAACATGTCTCCAAGTCTGCTTTTGGGTATAAAACCATAGACTGTAAAGGTGGCTTTGAAAACGGGAAATAAATCCTTTATGTCTAAATCCTGACTCATGTCGTCTTTCATATGTTGAGTCATTCTCCTAGACCAGCTGTTCACCCTACACGTATACTGGCATATAGCGTTGTGCATTATTCAGTACGTTTTTATTATTTTTGTTTACTTGCTATAGCAGATTATTTTAGCCCTAAGCCAGTGACTGCCACCTGGGCATCTCCAAACTGAGTGGCTGGCTGGGCATTATGGGAAGTGTCATTCGCAGACCTCTGTGATGCAAAAGTTGATTATAACCGGGTTCTTCAATAAGCAAAATAATTGCAAATTTGAGGTCAAAACAACCATTTTGGTTGGCATAGTTTGGTTTAAAGTTTGGAACTTTCTGGTTCAACGGGTTATTGAATAACTTCTGCTGTCTCTCTATTATAATGTCCATTGCCAGAATCTCACATATGTTGCCACCGGCAGTCTATTTAAGTGTATACCTGAAATGTTGCAGTGTAAGCATGCAGAAGCCAAACACAGAAATATTGGACACAGGTCTTCAGGAAGTAACAGGCCTTTATTCACATTACCGATCGGGTCTCAGATGAACTCCTGTTCCAAAAGATCTGAGAGCCCAACACATAGTGTACATTCCTTATATAGCACTAACTCCTCCCATTAATAGCTACACCCACATATACCTTTAACCAATCAATGAGCAGACTATAGACTTGTACATCTAGTCAAACCACATGGCTCATCCAAGACAAAGGAAATAAGTGCAATTTCAGTTCCTGCATTCCTGCACATGCTCAGTACACTGATGACAGTATCCTAGCTACATGTAGCTAGCCAACTGACACAACATACACATATGCCACATGGAGATTTTGGCCTACTAAATTTTAACCATGCTGGAATCCCATCACATTCCCCCCTTTTGATGCCTCTGATATAACATTATTCCAGATGCATCACCAATCACAGTTTTACCTACATCTCTCAAGTAGCCATTGAACCAGAGTAGACCTTGTAAGCATCTTAAAAACTCCTTCAACATTCTTCATCCTGAATATATTCTCTTCGGGCTAGGGGATCATATCTTCCAGACCTGAGTAGGTACATGCTCAAATTTAACCATGTGGCTTGTAGGTTCAGCCACTGCCTGCCCTTCATCATCTATGTGCAGACAACAGTTACTTAGATTAAACTCTCCGCATACACCTCCTTCTACTGCTAGTAAGTAATCAAGGGCTAGCCTATTCTGGTATATGGCTGATCACATCTTGGTATTTTGCTTAGCTAGAAGATTAAGCACTTGAGCTGTCTCATTAGTAATAATCTCAACTACCGCCTGTAGTCTAATAATGCGGTTGAGCATATATAATCGGAGTTCTATATCCATAAGTGCCATCTTCTGCCCAAGTAGCAGGTCCATAATAATTAATAATACGTTGAGGGGGCCACTCATTATCTTCCCAGCTACCTATATTCAAGGATGCTCTCTCCCTTTTATGATTTACATCGTAAACCTTAACTCCCAAGGTCTCTCCTGTTTCGATTGGCAACAAGAAGAAGGATGGCTTTGGCATACCTAATACACATGCCCCTTCCCAATCTTGTGGTAACTCCGAATAAGTTTTCTTACCACAAATCCAGTATAAATTTGCTGGGGCTTTCCAACTAGATGTAGCCGATAAGTCAAACCATACCTCCCTTAAATGAGTGTAATTGGCAAACGGATTAGTAGGTTCCGAGACATTTGAAGCTGACCACCAAGTAGTATTTTTAGTATTAACATTATAGGCTTTTTGTCCCAAGCAAGTTAGCTCACCTACAGACGTGTTATACATTGTCCCTTTCCTGGCTATACAAACATGACCTATAATGGAGGTTTTTAACCACCATTCCAATTTACTTCTAGTACTTACTTGATGATCAGACTGGAAAGGTATCTGTTGTTCATATGTCTCAGAGCCAGGGTACCATATTTCCTTTGCCTCCCATGGCCACTGGTCTCCCATATTAGTACCTCCACACACATAGCAATTAGTTACATTAAGACTACCTGCAATACCCTCAGCCAAATCAATAAATAGGTTGTTAACATTATGGGGAATTTTATCCTCAATACTCATCTCCTCATAGAAGGAATGAGAAACCTGATGAGTTTGAGTTGCCACTGTCTCAGTTTCAAGACCTACATATATTATTGTTCCTGAATCTACTCCTGTGCCATATATTTGGAACCCAAACAGACCTCCAAACCTGTCAATAAAGTACTGCAGATTGGAAATGGTCATGTGAACGGGGTTACACACATAGTTTTACAGTATGGTGTGGTAGGCAACCTTTGGATAATCATATCTTGATCCACTGTTTTTCCCAGGTTGCCCAACCTACACATGACAAATAGGGGCAGAAGTTAGTCTCTATTTGGGCAATCAGGATCAGTAGATCTTTTACTGGGACATAAGTATTTATCATTAAACCCATAAGTTCGTTCCCATTTAAGATTACCACATACATTCCAAAGTCTTCCACTACCCGAAATCGCCTTACATGCATCAAATAGTAGAATACCCGTGGAATGTATGGTGCTTATCACAGTCCTATTTAGTAATGTCCCCTGGGAGTTACTATTCCGAATTACCAACCAAATTGTACGGGGTTGGAAATGGGGATCAAAACATTTAGACTCTCCTGATATTGGCTTGCACACACTATAATCAATATCCAAATATCTACATTTAGATACAGATCCCTTACATTCATACTGTGAGTGCCAGATGAGAGTTTGGGATATTTGGTTACCTGTTTTAGTAGTCTTAATGCAACTATCGCAATTCGGTATGTCTGTACTCCTACCTTCCTGAAAAATCATAAAAATACTAAGACACAATAAAACACATTATTCCTGAAATCCTCATTTTTCTTCGACCGTGCGATGGCCTCTCAGCTTCCCGATTGTGAGGGCTGCAAGGATGTTGTTCTTCTGATCCTCACTTTCCTTCACAGAGATCCCTTCAAGATACTCTGGCTATGACACGTAGGCAGGTGGTCAGGCTTTATTATGGCCGTCAAAACACCTACTTGATGATCTTTGTAGACTTTTAACTAGAATGTCTCGCTATCCCCTCGTCACTCCGACTGAGTTGCACGCTTCAACCGGGTCCTGCAAGGATTCTCAGGATCTGGAGTAGCTTGCCAAGAGTCTGCCGCTGGTTTAACCTTAGAATGATGAATCCAAGGAGTCACTTCCGCCACCTTTACAGCTATTGGGGTAGATAAAAGAACAACATACAAAGGCTAACAGAATACACCCCGAGCTTTAACTCAATATGTATTGGTGGGATATTACGAGCAAGTCCTGGAGGATTATTTTCTTCCCATACTCCTGGAATGTCAAGTAAGGATTCATCACTCTTAGGGTTAATACTTGTCACTATGGAATAGAAGCGTCATTCTTCTTCCCTTGGCACCGATATCACCATTATGCCTGGTAATCCCTTAAACTTCAGAGATGTTGATCCATTAGGTAAAAGGTTATCTGAGCTTAAAGCTTCGATAATAGATCTCATCCTAAAAGTTGAATCGGACACTCTGGCATATATAGGAACTAATGCTTCACCACATGGCCTCCCAGAATACAAGTGCGACTCTTAAGAACCGGTCTAGCTGCACTTCTCCCAGTAGCTCCTATCACAGTTATAGTCTTCCCCGAAGGCGGAGCCACCATCTTAGTCACCACAGAATGTTCAGCACCTGTGTCGATCATGAAAGAACTTCTCTTTCCCCCTATTGCTACATCGACCATAGGCTCCGCTCGACCAAGTGGGATGGAGCCCAGTCGGTATCAATAGTCTTCCATGATAGTGTCAGCCAGACCCACAAAATCTCTATCCTCTCTTTCTCTAGGTCTCTGCGTGGGTGGATAGTATCTGTCTCCTTGAACACTTCCTCTACTATTCCCACCATTCCCTCTAAAACTTCCTCTTACTCTATAACTACCACTATAACCTCCTCGTACCCTTCTCTCTCCTTGTCTATCACCTTCATACTGCTCTCTCTGTGGACACTCACTCTTCCAATGTCCCTCCTTTCTACAATACGCACATTAATTCCTACTTAAAGTCCCTTGCTCAGCCTATTCTCGTCTCCTCTATTCACTTCCCTGTCTTTCTACACTTAAGATAGCTACCGCTAGCATTTTATATAAAACACAATTTTAGAAAGGAAAAGTTGATAAAAATGCTCAAATCACCAAGTGTGAGTCACTCCAAATCACACAAAGAACCATACAATACAATAATAATATAGTGAGAGCAAACTCTATACACCAGATAAGATAGATATAAATATAAAAACAGGCAATATTACCATATGGCTGTGATGTCCTAAAAATAGAAAATAAGGAACATAGTATAGCCGGTATAGAATATACAAAAAATAATTAAGTGTAAAATTGTCCACTCACGTGGTTCTGAGCCGTTCAGTGGCTCAGACTATAGGCGCCATGTAAAACTTATGGAGACCACAATGCTGGAAAGGCAAATCTCTGTAAAAATTCCCTTTTGTGACTGAATGGAAAGTCAAGTCAGGAAATGCAGGAACAAATTTTATTCGCCAACAATCGCATATAAAATGGAATCTCTCAAATTATTGCACTAACGCGTTTCAAACGGTCTTTATCAAAGTGCTAAAGACCGTTTAGGTTGAAACGCGTTAGTGCAATAATTTGAGAGATTCCATTTTATATGCGATTGTTGGCGAATAAAATTTGTTCCTGCATTTCCTGACTTGACTTTCCATTCAGTCACAAAAGGGAATTTTTACAGAGATTTGCCTTTCCAGCATTGTGGTCTCCATAAGTTTTACATGGCGCCTATAGTCTGAGCCACTGAACGGCTCAGTACCACGTGAGTGGACAATTTTACACTTAATTATTTTTTGTATATTCTATACCGGCTATACTATGTTCCTTATTTTCTATTTTTAGGACATCACAGCCATATGGTAATATTGCCTGTTTTTATATTTATATCTATCTTATCTGGTGTATAGAGT